CTACTAAGCTAATAATAGATATCTAAAACTCTAACCTACAATCAGTTATATATGTTACTGCTTAGTCTTATCCAAGTATGAGGATTACAACATCTGAGTTTGCTTTTGAATCAGTCATAATTAGTACTTCAAGAACACCATTAAATTATAGAGACAACTACAGATGTTAAATTTATTTCAACTAGACATTACCTTACTGCAAAAATATTGTAAAAGTAGTTACATTAAAATTTGATATTACATAAAGAAAAATCATATTTTGGACTATATTGAGAATATAATGGCTTAACGCATTATAATTACCGCCAACATTTGTAAAGGAGTGAACAATTAATAATGATACTAGACAACCAAAGCTCCTTTTACTCTTAAGGGGTCTTCCTAAATATTAAAATTGAAAACAAACACTACATTTCACCACAGGTATATTTGGCTACCTTCTTAAGTTACTTCATGAAATAGGAAATGCAAAGACTAAGTAAGTAGCTGTGGCAGATAGCTTAATGTTTTAAGAGCATGGGCTCTGGAGTCAGACAGCCTGGCAAGTGTTGTCATTTTACCAATTGTGTGACCTCAGGCAAATTACTTCATGCTCCCTGTGCCTCAGTTTCATCTGCAAAATGGGGATAATAATGGCAACTGTCTTGTGGGGATTTGGGAGAACTGTATGAGAAAATGCATGTAAAATACTCATGAGAGTACGGGATACTTAATAAATAAACAAATAAATGCTTGATAGCATAAATACTTGATAAATATTACCTACTACTACTACCACTATCATTATTAGCCCCAAATTTACTAACGGATCATGCCTTTCATTCTATATTTTTATAAAATGTAAGGGGAAAATGCTATTCTATGGGATTTTAAATTCTTATTTCAAGTATTTATTGCACATCAGTAATATAACAGGTAGGATGTTAGACATAGGGCCTTGTAAACACCATGGGCTTTTTGTTACTGAGCAAGTTATATAGGAATGTAAAGGTATATATTGCCCTGAATTCTGGTAAAACATGTCACAATGTGAAAAATAAACCTATCAACAATGACGATGCAGCTGATCATTAATAAATATGAGTTCTATAAATAAAATCATGTTTAGTGTCAATGGTAGACTGCTTTTCAGTTTAACTAAAATTCTCCCAGAGGTTTAATTAACTACTTAGGAAGCACAAAAGATTGGAAAAGAGCATGGTTCTGATTCCTGGGTTTCACAGCACTGTTCAACTTGGCACACAATAAATGCTCAATGAAGATTTGTTTTGCCTAAAACACTATGACTGAAAAGCACTCCAGAGTTAATACTGATTCACAGGAGATACTGCCACCTAGTGAAAAATTAGGCTCATTACCTGGGATTACCGTATAATGCTGAGAACTTCCCAAATTAAGACTTGATCCTGCTTAAAATACTACATGTATATTCAATATGTGCCAGTATTCAGACTAGGTACCAGTAATAAAAAGACAAATAAACCTCCAACTCTGCTTCCCACAAAGTATAGACAATATAAAGAAACTGCATACTCCACAGAGAGGCATAAAATAAACAGTTTTGTAGAAAAAAAAAGTTTGCATATTACACAATCAAAAGCTAATATTTCAGGAAATCTGCTAAAAAGGCAGTTTAGTGTAGCAAATGAGAGCATGGACTCCAAGTCCAGCCTGTATGGATCCAAGTCCTGGCTCCCATAATGGGAATAATTATAATACCTATCTCATAAGATTATTGTGAAAACTTTAAAAAATATGGGTAAAGTGCTTAAAATAGTACCAGGAACATGGAAAATGCTTTGTAAGTATTAGACATAATTATCATTACATGTAGAACAGGATCCTAGAGATTGATTAATAACAGAACATTAATTGCTGAAGTCTAGCTTCATACATTTAATTCATTAGAAGCCGTTTCTCTGACTAGTACTCTGTTATTATGGGAATCCTAAAAGTACATTATTTGTGGTACACTGTGACTAAATTTTGTATTACTAGATGATTAACCCTTTCAACATCAGGCAAATAAAACTGCCTTCTGAAAGTAAAAATCATATTTCTTACCAAAAAAAGCAAAAAGTCAGTAGAATGAAAGACCCAAAAGACCACAACCTGAACACATGCTTAACAGGGAAAGACGCTTGCTGACTCTTCACAGATTTTGCTAGAACTGAAAGATGGATGATACATTTAGCTACCACTGTGGTCTCATTCACAGCTTATTTAACTGATAAAAAAAAATGAGCTTGCTCCATTTTCCTTAAAAATTGCCTAAATGTATCAGCTGCTCTGATAAATACTATCTAAAAAATCATGTAACTGTTTTGTATCTTTCAAATTTTTTACCATTAAAACATTTATGTAAAACTACTTATAAACTTTATTTTCAGACAAGAAAGTGTGAGCAAAGTAGTCCTGTGTTAAAAGATAAATAAAATATAAGGCAAAGGTATAATAGGTCAGTAATAAATGTTATAATTTTCATTGAAAAAGTTTAAAGCCTTCATGATTCTGGCCTGTATCTAATGAGCAAAATATTTTAGAGTCTGAAACAACTTTTCATTTTTTCATGGTTATATACCATTCACAAGAACTGTGCTAAATCTTGGACTGCTTGAGATCACATAACTTTTTCCTAAACTGCTTCTTTTTAAAAACAGGCAGCAAAGAGTTGGGAGAATGTGTTGAAACATTTTGAGTTTTGTTTGTAAAGGTGTGTTAGTATATCAAAAATTGTGTTCGAAATACACTGCACAAAATATTTTTATTTAATATGTGTATTAACTGAACGTTTAAATTTCTAAAACACTCATGGAAATCCCTCATTTACATTAAGATACTGTGGACATAACATAATGTTCTTAACTTTATGCATTTATTTTCTAATACAACTGATCTAGAAAGGTACACACTCTACTAAATAAAAGGAAAGGGCTGACCAACAGAAAGAGTGAAAGAAAGGGAAAAAAACCTTTTTTTCCATTTCATTCCACACAGAGAGGCTTATCAGCATATTAAAACATAAGTTCCCATAGAGTCAAGTGTATACAGGTTGGATGAGCACGGTAACAACCCACTGTATCTTTTTTGTTTGTTTTAGTATAGTGCGTATCAACTTACAAAGTACTTTCACAGTCCCTGTCTCATAGCACCCTCGCAAAAAAATCTTAGGTAGGACAGATATTAGTAGTTGTAGGACCATTTACTAGATAGGGAAATGGAGCTTCAGGAAGGCAAGAGGCTTGTGCAAGGCCACTAAAGAAACAGAACTGAGCCTAAAACTAAATGTTTTTGAACTCCTGAACACTTGGCTCTTTCTACTTATGCTTCTAGAATGGACTTCTTAGTCTAAATGTCTATTGTCACAAAACCAAATGGACAAACCTAACTGGTCTAATCTACTGATGAACTTCTATCAAAGACAAAAAATAAACTAAAGAAAAAAGATGAGACTGGAGCTTTCAACTGCAGTTTGTAGTGAAAATTTCAAAAGCCTAAAAAGCAAAATAGAAATTCAATGAAAACTGTGGTGAAACTTCTGAAGAGTTTGAGGAAATTAATTGAGTGCCTATTTCCTATATAACAGTTCCCATTACAAAGTAAATAGGTATAACTCTTCTTTCTGTGAAGATTTGAAGTGTATAAAAGAGAGACCTGTTTCAGGACATATGTTTGAACTAGACAACAAACTTGGACACTGGATGATTTGAGAAATCCACTTGTCTTTTCCCATAGTCAGGCAGTGTTTACTTTTGCTAAATTTGTTTGTAATAGTAAGTGGTATTGTGTTGTTTAACAATTCCACCATCAGTAATACTGTTCTGTAAATCTGAATATGTGTCAGAGAAATTTATTATTTATTCTTTGTAAAATTCTTTAAAACAGGATAAATCTCAATTTTACACATTATTTTCTTATATAATTCACCTGTAAAGGCATAATAAAATCCATACTATGATCAAGAACTTCAGGTTTAGAGCTTAACTCAATTGCCCAACACTTAGCACTTATCACAAACATTAACCAATTCACACTGTATTAATGCAGTAAGCTTAACCACTTGCATTCCATTAACTTAAAACACTCTGTCTAGATAGTTCCACAGCAATGTTACCTGTATACATATTTGCATATTTATGCATTTATGACGTTGTGTGAAAGCCATCTTAGCTTAGCAAAAACAGTGAATGATATCATAAACAAAACAGAGAGTAATAAAAACCATTTACTTTTGTACAATAATTAATATATGAAAAAATGGAACTGCAATTTTGAGAGTGTCAGCACTATCAATACCATGCAGAACACTGAAATCCTAATTTCAGGACAAAAATTAAAGAAATATATGAAAAATAGCATAAATCCAGATAATTCTAATAATGCCATACTATTTCTGAAAAATGTGTCCGAAGTCTTTATTTCCTTATTATTTTCCAAATTTATAGAATAGTGTAATTTTACTGTAGAAAAAGACGTTAGATTTCTAATTCCAGATCTCATTTTCATTGACGCTTGATTTTTTTGCCTTCTTTTATGTTAAGAAACTCTCAAAATTACAACTTATTTAAACTATATGCTTTAGTAAAAAAGAAAAACAAATAGGAAATTAACTCAATATTCAACTAAAAACATTACAAATCCATATTTCCTAAATGTTATTTATCTTTTAATTTAGACATATTCCCAAATAATTTTTAGGTGAATTTTATTTATTTAAATTGATTTACAAAGGAAGTGATGACTACCTTTCTGTGATTACAACGTAAGAGCACAACCATTATGTGTACTTTTGATATTTAAACTCCATAATAATAGTGCTCATGGAAAAATAAAATGTTATAATAATAATATGATCTTTTTAAGTTGCTTGGCTTTCATAGTATATTCAAGAGAGCTTTGTTAATACAAAGGATGACAGTTTTCAGAGTTCATAATTTCCGGTTCAGTCTAAATGTAAAGGTTACTCTAAATATTCTCCTCTTATCAAGTGGTGGACTTACCATGGAAATCATAAATATATAGAAGAATTGGCTCATTCTGCCCAAACGCACAAAATGCAACCATATTTTCAAGTGGATGATAAGCAATATCTCGAATGGGTGACTTGAATGGCAGGTCAGAATACATTGCTACTTGTTCTCCTAAATAAGAAAAGACATTCAATAATTTGTACCATCTCAGATACTTCTCATTAGAAGATTATTCTGTAGCTTATTAAAAAAGATTTATAGTAAGTAATGATAAAGCTCACGTTATTTATATGAACACCTTAAAAACTTATAAATATTTGAGTACCACTATATTAAATAATTATCTTTATTTTTCATTCTGTTGGCCCTCCTTTTTCTACTTCTCAGTCCAACCTCTCCACGGAGGTATTCAAGGCATGAAATAAAGACAAAGAGCTTGGAAGTAGAAAGACCTGACTCTGAGATCTGACAGAGCTGAGCAAATGACAACTAACAAAGAACTCCAGGGAGAACTAGGGGAGGAATGTCAGGATTAAAACTAAAGACACTCTGGTTGGGAGAGGTTTAGTGAGGAATTAATTTTTTCTATATTTCTTCCAGAGGCTGTTTGACGTACCATCTGCTTTAAAGATGCATATGATTATTAATGACTAAAAGAGGCCTACAGCAGAAGTTTAAGTTTGAAAATCAGAACTCAAAAAGCAAAGAATCCAGTTCCACGGATTGCTGGGGAAAAGAGATTTATGAACACTTCTGAACTGATGCTGAAGTATCAAAATATAGTAAGAAAAAAGAAAAACTATAAGTGAACTGACTAGTCAAAAATGCCTAAAGGGAAAGATGAAGAAAATAAAAAGCTGAAGTCAAATACTGCTCCTTAAAGAAATTTTAAAGTAACTTTTATAAAATTCTTTCTACTGCTAAAAAAAAATGTTTATGTAGTTTTGGCTTTTCTTTTAAAAAGCAAGGTGAAGCACAAATGAATTGCCCAATATAATAGCTTATGTTATTCAAAAAAAAACTGAATTACAGGGCTTCCCTGGTGGCGCAGTGGTTGAGAGTCCGCCTGCCGATGCAGGGGACACAGGTTCGTGCCCTGGTCCGGAAGGATCCCACATGCCGTGGAGCGGCTGGGCTCATGAGCCATGGCCGCTGAACCTGCACGTCCGGAGCCTGTGCTCCGCAACGGGAGAGGCTACAATAGTGAGAGGCCCACGTACCACAAAAAAAAAAAAAAACAACAAACAAACCTGAATTACAGTAAAATTGCTATTAAGTTTCAGACATCCAAAACTGACAGAAGTATGTTTGTTTCTAATAAAAATGAAGATGGTTAACCATTTGTATACCTAGTTGTACTCTAAATTCAGTTTATAATACTGTGTTTTGTATTACAGTCATCATTAAACACTTCTCTAAGTTCAACAATATCTCATTACCAGCAAGGAAAGAATACACCTTGAATTACAATGTGAAATTCTAAATCCATGAAGATATCAAAACCATAAAGAACAGAATTTAATATAAATTTAGACTGCAGCTGAATTCCATTATCAGCTTTCCAATTTTGAAAAACATAACTGAGAACCTGAAATCAGAATTTCCTTGAAAATTACAACATAAAATTGTAGTTTTTATACTTCATCAAAAACAAAACAAAACAAATGTTTAAGTTTGATGAAATATTATTTACCTGTTTCTGGGTTCCAAACATATACTATACCATCCTCACTTCCAGCAAAGAGAAAAGTCCCACATGGTGTCAAAGTACTGTGAATCTTCTCTCGATAATTTGCTGCACCTACAAATTTCCTTGCTGCTAATCTAGGAACCAAAAAGATTTTACAAATGAAACCTGTCTTACCCATTTAAAAGACTGGTGGTAGGAAAACTGTTAAATACTTCATTTGCATTTAACAAACAACTTGTGAGAATCTGTTATGCAGGATACATTCTATGATGGATGCAGAATAAAGAAGAGATAATCCCAGAGCTCAGGGAGCTTATAATTTAGCAGGAGAGAGAAGAAATGCATTAAAGTAAAATAGAAAGTGGATGTAGAAAGTGCCACAAAAGAACAGAAGGAGTACTTTTCAGATTTGGATAGGAGAGATGATTTCTAGCTATGGAGCAAAAGACTACTTTGGAAGTAGCATTTGTATTGGTTACTAAAAAATGAACAGAATTTTTATATTCTTATATTTTCTCCATGTGAAATACTTGATCATTGCAGAAGTATTAGACAAAACATTATTGAATCATCTATTAAATATGGTATATAATCTTCCAGGCTTTTTAACTTATGAATAATAACAGCTAACACTGTTTTAGCGCTTATTATGTGCCAGGTAGGTACTATTATCATCCCTGGTTTACAGAGAAGATATTACATATACTGCTCTGTTATCTGCTTTTTTCAGTCAACAATGAGTCATGAATAATGGCCACCATGTCAGAAAATAAAGATTACGCGTTATCATTTTAATAGGCATATACTATACCATTGTCTAAATGTATCTTAAGAAATTTTCTATTGTTGGATAACACTTAGGATGTTTCCAGCTTTCCCCTACCATGAATATGATTTCTGTGAACAACCTTGTGTATATATATATATTTTTGCACTGCCTCATAATTATTTTCTTAACATAAATAACTAAACCTAAGGTTACTGGGTCAAACACTTCTGCTATGTCTGTTAATGTTTTAAGTACTTTAAATGTATAAACTAGTTTATCCCTCACAAAACACTTATGAGGATGGCATATTATTTCTTCCATTTGAGTGATGAGGAAAGAGAGACACAGGAAGATTAATCAGCTAGTAAGGGGTGGAACAGGCAGTATTTGACTGTAAGCAGTTTTCTTCTAGAGCCCAAGCATGATCATAGGCTGAATACTATACTGCTTAAAAAGAGAACAACCAAACTCTGCAGGCCTGGTCTTCTAGAGTCTGGCTCTAATTTCTGTTGGATTCTCTCTCAGCATTCCTTAGCAAGAAACCCATGCTCATACAGACTAACTCACTCTGCCCTGAATACAGCTTCTATTATTCTACCTCCAAACTTTATTCCAGGCTTTTCATGTTTTCCACCCTAGTGAGGACGCTGCCATCTTGTCTAAATTCTACCCATCCTTCAAGATTGAGCTCAAAGACCAGTCTTGCCACAGAGCCTTTAACAGAAGACTATATTATAGCTATCAGCTTTACCGTTGCCATGAAAAATACAATCCTTTTATTATGTATTTATACTCATTAAAAATACTTATTGAGTACTTGCTATCTGTTAGGTATGACGTGGGTACGATGTATAGAAAAAAAGAATAAGCAGATTCCAGTCCTTGAAGATCTCACAATGTAGCCTAAGTGTTTTGTATGTTATTTTGGAGGTAGTACAACTAGATTATAAATTCCTGATGAACAAATTCTGCTTATCATTCTCCTACAGCACCCATGCCAGTGTCTCAAACAGTTCTACATAAATACTGAAGGGCTTAATGGTTAGCCCTAAAGTGATGATTGCAGAATAAACTAACCTGGATTACCACATTTGCCTTCCTAAATACAATAATGAAATTTAATAAAATAGCTTTCTCTCATTTGTTTTACAGGAACTTTTAACGGCAAAACCAAAGCACACCAGAAGTCCATGCTGGTTTTCCTAGAACTCTGCTTCTGCCTTTTACATTAAAAATATCTCTTTTCATTTGCCTCTTTTAGAAACAAAACAAAAAGGAAAAACAAGGATGTATGAATCAAAGCCCTCTCATTCAGGCATGATAGATCATAATACTATGTTAAACCAATATCATAAAGATAAAAGATATGTGGTGGCAGTAGTTTCTTTTTTTTTATTGTGAAAATAAAAAACAGTAGACTACATCTCAGCCTAAGAACTATTCACATTTTGGGTCAGATAATTGTTGCAGAGGCCTGTCTCATGCACTGCAGGATGCTCAGTGATATCTCTGGTCTCTATCCACCAGATACTGGAATAAACATGCAAGTGTTTCTAGACACTGCCAGAGGTCCCCTGAGGGACAAAATTCTCTAGTTGAGAACCACAGCTGCACTTTATAAATATGAATTAAATCATTACTTATTCTATGAGCACTTAACCTGCAAATACTGAAATATACTTACATTCGGAGATCCATAATTCTCAAAGTACTGTCTTTGGTATGAATTAACAAACGTTTTCCATTGGGATGAACCTCCAAGTAACTTATTGGAATCCCCTTAAACTCACTCTCTTTAATTTCCTAAAATGATTTTAAAAAAGATTATAAAATATTACCACTGTAAAGTTTGTCTAAAGTTAAGCCCTTTTAAGTGTACAAATTTAATTTTAAGATGTCATTTTCAATTGCACAATACAGGATGTTTAAAAATTGTTAGCAAAATTATTCCAAGTAACTTCAGGTTAAGGATGAAAATAAAGCTGCTAAAATGTATTTTTTGGTTGTTATGTAACACCATATTTAATTAGTGTTTTTGTAGTATATTCCCAAACAAGAAGCACTTTCTACAAACACATCTTCTAACACTACACTGTCTGTTTATCATCAGATAAGAAACTTTCCAATTTTTATAAATTCGAAATTAAGTATAGAATTAGCTCTCAAGTTCTATTTCAGTCTCAGATTATTTCTTCATACATCTATTTCCACTTGTCCTGAAAAAGGTAAATTATCAGCATCTTATTCTGAAATAATTTAGTTTAGATTGTAATTTTTTTTTGATACTTAAGGCAGCTAAATCTTCTACTTATAGAAGAAGACTATAAATAGACCTGATTAATGATGTCAAGAAAGACACAAACACTGAAGGAGAATCTGCCTGAACAAGCCGTGTATAAGGACAATTTCCAAAGGTTCTTGTTTCGATTACCAGCAGAAAGAAAAAAACTGCAAATGCAAAACTGCTTAAACTAAAGTCTAAAGAGTCAAGAGAGGGTCTGCTTTAACCTGTAGGCAGAATTCTGAATTAGCCTTCTTCTCCCTCGAGGACCCCTTATTATTCTTGCTCGCTTCTCTTAGAGGGTCTCCTCTTCAGAGGTGGGTTGGCACCAGCTGAGGTGGGGTACAAACTGCTACAATCCTAGTATCAGTAGCTGAGCCCCTCCTACTGCCATTTGGTGCTAAAACCTGCTGTCAGCTTTTTACAAGTTACAGAATAAAGTCAAATACTGATACCATAGATGGGGATTTTACTGAGCCCAACTACAATGATTTGGAGGTGGAGATGCACTGCTGAAGGTGTGAGCAATTGGAGCAACACTTACACAGATGCAAATGTGCAAAATCAAAACCAAGGCTGCATAACAAGTTAAGTGTTAGGTACAGGTTTGAGAAAGCTGCTGGTAGCTTCAGTGTTTGTAGTATCTGTTAATGAGTTCCTTCATATTTTTATCATATTCATGCTCAAGCCCTAGTTCTAAAGACCACGCCCTATACCAAGGAGTGTGTGCAACAGCACATGGACACCTCATCTTAAGGGACAGATGTGTATAACCCAGCATCCTTCCCCCCACTGTTGGTTGAAGAGAACCACGTAAGAAATCGCAGTTTCCCATCTGTCCTAGGACATAAGCTACTAAAAAGACATCCCAGCTCATTTCCTAACTTTCTATTTTCAACTCTCTCAAGTAACCACCAGGAGGCAGATTTCCAAGGTATATTTGCCTTTTGGTTACTATATTGAGGTAAAGAAACACATGATTTTTAATACAAATAATAGACTCTGCATTGTAGACTCAAATGATTAGAAATGGTGCCTTTGGAGCCTTGCCAATCCTTTAGGTATCAATATATAAGTAATTAGAAAGTTCTTTTCGAAGTGTGTGAAATTAGGCTACAACATGAATCCCAAGCCATCATTCATTAATCTGACAGACTAGATGAGAATGACTAAAAATAGAATAGACTGGTTTTTAAACAGATCTGACAGATTCAACAGATTTAACTAAAGTTCCTGGAAATTCTTTTTCATGTAGAATGTCTTTTTTTCAAACAGGGACAATTATAATCTATTATGAAGAAGAACAAAACCGAAGAACACAGGTATAGCATATAAGACAAAAATTATATCAATACATATAAAAACAACTCAGGTTTAATGATTCATTTTGTATTTTTAACTTAAACATGCTAGATATACACCAACAAAGTTGCTTGGTATACAAGCCATCTTTAAAACACTCTGCTTCAAAAATGAGATCATTCATTTGTTTCTGCCAATTTAGTATATTTCAAATGAAACAATTACTGTGATTAAATGATAGGCCCTCTCATACTTATATAATCTTGATCACACAATTTTGAGGGATAGCACTGTTAACAAAACCTTGAGCACAGTGTTTTTAGTGATGTTATTAGACCAAGAAAAAAATAATATAAATAGCAGAAAATATAAGTTATTATGTACAGATGGTGATATAACATATACCTCATTTTGCATAAATTTCAGCAATGGATCCCTGAATACCATAGGGCAAATTAGGGCTCAAAATAAGAAACAAAAGCCTGGCCAAAATGAAGAAAATTTCACTACGTCACTATATTATCAATTAGCCATCAGGAAGACATGATAATTGACTTCTCAGGGACTGAGAAAAACTTAATTTCTTTGAAAAGAACGAATGGAATGTCCTGACATCTTTTTTTTTTTTAACATCTTTATTGGAGTCTAAGTGCTTTACAATGGTGTGTTAGTTTCTGCTTTATAACAAAGTGAATCTGTCCTGACATCTTAAAGTCATGTGGTTCAATTTTTTTCCCCCATTTCTTTAATTAAATCCCCAAATATGAAATGGTTCTATACCTTATTTACACTCCAGTGACGCACTGAGTGTTGCACATCATTAACTTTGACATACGTACTCCAAACAACAATCACCCCTGTGCAGTCTCCTGAATACATGTGATGACCTATTTAAAAAAATAAAATTACTTACATATAAATGTCACACAGAGGTTGAAACAAATATTATGAAATTGGGAAAACACATCCCAATAAAACAAAGAATTGAAGGGCTAGTAAAAGGCATTACAGTTTTTAAAAAGTCCAAAAGGCAGTCAGATCCCAACTATCTTTAAATGAATTCTTCACCCTTTTGAATTATTTTTGATGATTTATTTCCCTTTGTCACCTACCTGAATTTGAATACAAAAAGAAATGGCAATCTCAGTTTATGTGTACGTGGCTCAAATTCCAAAGCTAAACAAATTATTTGAAATATCCAATATGATCTGTATTGCTCACCTTCATTAACCTATATAATCTATTTTATATTCCTGGAAAAACACCTATACTCTAATATATACTGTTAGCATAATACCTGAGACCTGGTAGGAACTCAATAAATGACCAGGGAATGAATAAAATAATAAATAACAGGTGCTTCAGTTCAGCATCAATTTCTTAGAGTCAAACCATCTTACAGTTGAATGGGACCTCAGAGATCATCAGATTCAACTTCATAACCTGTCAGGAATATCTTACAAACCATTATGAACAGATGGTTGTTCAGCAACTGTGAATGTAATATTTTACACAAAAGTAGCTTATTCAACTGATGAAATGCTCTGTATATTAGAATGTTCTTTCTAATTTTGAGCAAAGAAAATCTGTTTCTTGCAGTTTTGGCCCTACTTCTACCTACAGAGCGACGTAGAAGGACTTCTCTTTTTTCCACATCTAAACCAAATATTTGAAGAAATTCTTCATCTCTCTTTTATGAGCTACTTCTATTATGACAGAATTTTCAGACGCCTTTCTATCCTTGGTTGACCTTTCCTGAATGTGTTCCTACTTATAAACATCCTTATGGTTGAACGGAGTACATTAGCAGTATTATCATCTTGATCTGGATCCCATACCAATTTATTATAGCTATACACACCTAGTATCTGAAATAATAGAAAAGGTGACTATTTAATAATGAATTTCTTTATTATTCCAGCTGACAAAATAACCTATATTTTATGTCCTTTAAACACTATCCTTAATACTCATATTCTAAGATTAAACCTTTAAATAATTGCAAATCTCCCTTCTATATGTTTCTGTACTTAAAAAAAATCCTGTTGCTACATTTAAAATATATATTTTCAATATTCCTCTGGGATTTCCACCCCCCATCTTCCTCATTTTTACCCTTTACATAAAACGGCCCTTTAAAAAACCTACTAAGGGAATAATCACCAATCCAATGAAATATATTTTGCAATTTGGAACAGGACTGGTTGTTACAGCAAAGATTAGTTGAATCAAAATGTTTAGAAATTTATTGACTTCAAAATTAACTAACAATTCCCTCAGTGCCAAATTTATACCAAGGTCTATCATATGATCTTCAAAATATGGATAAATCTAAATATGCACAAACATATTTAATTTTATCTGATACATAAAGTCACCCTCAAGCTTAAATAATTATTATCCTAGTGAAACAGAAAATTTTTCAAAATTCTTCATGTAACTAGCCTTCAACTGGCATATATTCTTGGACATACCTTCAATATCAAAACAGAGAGAGTTGATAAAACTCTTGTGAGCGTCAAACTGTCGGATTAATATGGCAGGATCCTCTCTCATATCAACTTTCCATATACGTATCACAGAATCATAGCATCCTGTAACCACCAGCTCTTTTACAGCTGGGTGGAATTTAGCCGTGTAAACAAAAGAAGGATGAGGTAAAACTCTGAAAGTATTTGTATTGTTTATTTCATTTTTCCATATCCTGGAAAAGGATAAAAAAGTTACATATTGCTTCTGAAAGGCAGACATTTCTCTAAGAACCAATATGAGCAATGGACTTTATAAAAGTAAGCAAGTGACAACAACCAATGGTAAATTTTGTAACAGTAAAAATAATGTGATGACATTATAGGATAGCCAGAGTTCTTTCAGTTTGACAAAGCTATTTCTTATAGTTATTTTCAAGCATAATGGTTAATTCCTCTACTAATTGTAATCTATACTGTAAAATGAAAAAACTGTACTTGTATATGTCTATACTTTTTAAACCTACCTATTTTTGGCATTGAGTAAACACATTGGATAGTTGGTAAAATACTGCATTTAATACAATATAAGTAAAAAACAAAACAGAGGGAGAAATTTCAATGATTTCCCATTTAGGCTGTGTATATTGTTTTTCCAAAGTGCTTACAGTTGAGGGTTTAGAGAAAAGGGTATTCTATTAACTTTATATTTGTAATTTCAAAGCATAGATAATGAACATAAACATCTCAAAGACTTAGAAGGCACATTGAAATTACTATATAAATACTTGAGTAAAATAACATTAAAATCATTACAATATTTTATAGAAAACAGGCTATCATCGAGCACTCACTTTATGTTTAATACTCTTGTTATCTCTTCCTTTATATAATAGGTGATTTGAAAGAAATTAATATTGTTATTGCTACAGTCTTGACAAGAGTAAACTCTAAGAGTTAGATACTCTGCAAGTCAATATGCAAAAATAGGCAAAATCTAGGAACAAACAGGTGCTTTGTGAGTGTGAAGCACTCGATTTTTAAAAATTTAAGTTATCAGAATTAGAAGAATTTATTAATTTTTTAACATGGGGATTTATAGTTCATCCTTTTAATTACTGTCTAAGAACTGAAGCAAATTAAGTCTTTTTCAAAATTATCTATAAAAAAAATACAGTTGTTATTCAAGAATAACATTCTATAAGTTTTCTCAGCAGCTGCTTAAAATACAGGATATGATCTTTAATTACTAAGAATTCAACCTAATAAATGAAGGAAGTGAAAGAACATGTTTTCAAGTAAAAGTAAAGCATGTGTGTCACTGCATAAACATTTTTACCACAGTGATACTTTCAATGAACATATGTAACATGAAATATAGTACGTATAGAAAGAACAAAATCACTAATTTGGAGGGAATATTAAGGAGGATGCTAAAAGATAAAAACTTCAGTGGCCTGCTAATAAATCTTAGCAGCATTATCTGAAATACTATACAACAAGAAGAAATGAAGCAACTGTACCTTAAAAACAGCTCAATATAATTAGAACAGACACAATATCTTAAAATAAAAATGAAGCATTTTACATAAAAGCGGAATCGGTACCAATGATGGCTTTCATCACCCAAGCAATGGTAGAATCCAAGATCAAAAGAAATGTATTAATGGGTTTGTGAAAAAAAATCAGATTGTCCGTAGACAGAGAAGAACAGTGATATACAAATCTGTAAAGACCAGATGAACACAAACAAAAATTATCAGAATTAGGAAAGAAAAAAGACATTCCAAAGTTAAAACAGTGTGTGTGAAGAGAGGGCAGAGTGGGGCCTTATGGGTCTATCTGGGAGCCATTACACATGGATAAGTCTTTCTGATTATATTAGGAGCTGCTGAACTGTAGTGTTCTCAAATTATACTGAAGATAACTAAAGACGGAGATTTAGGTTAAGCCCATCTGGCAGAGAGCTAACCAGTGGAAAACAGTTACTCAGGAGACACTAACAATAAAAGGTGACGGTGACCCCAGAAGATAACAGAGGACCTGGGCAGAAACCCGAACTCCTGCCACTTCTGAGCATTAGCAACTCTGGTTCTCTTCCTTTTGACTTTAGCTCATTCAGTGTAAGTATTCTTCACCTCTTTCAAAAACCCCACTGCCTTTTTTGTTCTAGCCACAGCGTTTCTCTCTTCACTCAGTTAATCCTTCACAACAGTATTTTTAGGATGTAAAGAGTCCTAAATTAGTATCAACTTCCAAGCTACATAAAGAAAAAAATATCCTTTACTACAATATATGCTGTGCGAGGAAACCCAAGTTGACTTCAAGAAATGGTAAAATCTGAGCTGGGTTTTAAATGATGACTAGGAGCCCACCCTGGCTTACAAAAGGCATTTAGACGTGTGTTGAGTGAATGAGTTGGGCAGGAAGGGGAGGAGAAGGGCATGTCAGCATAGGAAGAGCCCACAGGTAACATGGAGATGCCAAAGAAGATAAGATGCTAAAGGTATTTCAAAAGATTGTGTGGGTGAGGCAGAGGGTACATGGGAAGTGCACAAGGGACGACAGAAGGTCAATGAGGGTTATGCCTGTCATGCCACGCTAAGGAACTGGAATATTTTCCAAAGCGCAAAGATTTTTAAAGTCAAGACATTATGAAAGATGGTTTTGGAAAGAATTTTAGCATAGCAGGGATGGAGGAGCTAGAGGGTGAACACTGGGAAAGCTTAGCAGCAACAGTTTAAGCAAAAGATAACAAGGACTTGAATTAACGCAACAGCAGTGAGGATAGAAAGAATGTGACAGAATGTGAGACTTTTAGGAGGCAGAATTAATATACTTGAGAACTACCTGTATGTAGAAAAGAAACACGAGTACTACTCTGAGTTCCCAGCTTGGGAGACAGGGTGGATAAGGATGCCATTAAAAACTATATGAGGGCTAAAAAAGGAAAACAAAATTTGGTGATTTCCGTTATGGATCTGAGGTGCCACTGGGCAATCCAGGCAGAAGTGTGTAATACAAAGTTGAATTCGGAAAAAGAGAAGGAGCTCCAAGTCATTAGCATGTAAGTGAGATTCAAAGCCAAGGAGATGAGAGAGACCAGGATAAGCACACCAAACCACAGAAGACATCGAATAAAGGATCTTGGGGATAGCATGTACAGAGAACAGGCAGAAGAAAGGGAACAAGAGAATGAGAATTGGTCAGACTGATAAAAAGAAAACAGAAGAGGTTGTCAATGAAAACCATGACTTGAAAATATTTCAAGACTGGTCAATAATGAATTATTGCAGTGAAGGCAAACAGGGTAAGGACTAAAACTAGCCAGTGGATCCGAAAATTAGTAAGAAACTGCAGCTCTCTCAAAGGAAGTTTATATAGCACGCTTGAAGTGAAAGCCAGACTAACTGGGGGAAAGTAAAGACAGTGTGTATAGGATGCTTCTTGATGGTGTAGAAAGAAAAATAATGTGGTAGCCTGAAAGGCAGGAGGAGTTTAGAAAAAGATTTCCTTAAGATAAGGAGATTTAAACATACTTCTAAGATGAGAGGAAAAAATCAATAGAGAAAGATACTAAAGAGACAACAGAGGTAGGAAATAAACGTAACAGATTAAAAAAGTAACTTTTAAAATATTTTATTGTGATACTTATTAAATTGGAAGCGGCTAAATTATTTTCAAAACTGACATTTTGAACAGTGCAAATAGTTGACAATCTATTAAGCTCTTAAAACATAAGGTGCATATTCGTTTACTGACCCTACACCGTGCATTGAGCAGCACCATGTCCTGGCCTCTGCATCCAGCTAACAGTGGAGGCAGAATCCCTGCCATCAAGAGTTTATATTCCAGGAAAAATCTCAGTTGTTTAAGAACTTCATCTCAAAATATTAATCAAAGAGTGTACAAAATGATCATTTAAAGATAGTGAGGACTAGAAACATTATATATTACATAAACGAAATATATTTAACAGAATGCCTTTAGAAAAAACGTTTTCATTACTTCTTAATCAGTGAGTCTGTATGATGCATGTTTATGACGGTTCCTTGATAAGCAAAACATCACTGAAGCATAAGAGTAGTTATATCACTTTATATTCATTCGCTCTGCTTTCTTTGAGGGCAAGCAGCATACACAGCGAGTACTTCTCAAGGATACTAACCTGGCAGTGCCATCAGATGATGCAGTAAGAATATAGCGATCATCTTTTGACCAGCAAAGATCATAAATGATATTGAGGTGGCCACACAATTCTCTCATGAAACGTCCAGAAGGAATTTCATATACTAATGAAAATATTCGAAAATTAGTATGTTTCCAGATAGAGGATTCTTAACCGAATAACATAAAAATTCATAATTTATAATAATTTGTATACCAGGTAAGCACTGTCTATAAGAATATTATCACCAAAGACATTTTCAGTATTAAAAAATTTCAAAGTCTAGGGCTTCCCTGGTGGAGCAGTGGTTGAGAATCTGCCTGCTAATGCACGGGACACAGGTTTGAGCCCTGGTCAGGGAGAATCTCACATGCCGTGGAGCAACTAGGCCCATGAGCCACAACTACTGAGCCTGCGCATCTGGAGCCTGTGCTCCGCAACAAGAGACGCCACGATAGTGAGACGCCCGCGCACAGCAATGAAGAGTGGCCCCCGCTTGCCGCAACTAGAGAAAGCCCTCGCACAGAAACGAAGACCCAACACAGAAAAAATAAATTAATTAATTAATAAACTCCTACCCCCAACATCTTGTTAAAAAAAAAAAAAGTCGGGCTTCCCTGGTGGCGCAGTGGTTGAGAGTCCGCCTGCCGATGCAGGGGACACGGGTTCGTGCCCCGGTCCGGGAAGATCCCACATGCCGCGGAGCGGCTGGGCCCGTGAGCCATGGCCGCTGAGCCTGCGCGTCCGGAGCCTGTGCTCCGCAACGGGAGAGGCCACAACAGTGACAGGCCCGCGTACCGCAAAAAAAAAAAAAAGTCAAAATCTATTTAAAAGTAAGTTTTCACTTGCTTTAGACACAAGAATTTACATACCGAAAATTTTATAATGGGCTACAATTAACAATTATTCTTATCTCTTCAAAGCAATCCTAATAATCTTTGATAATCAATTTATTAATCTAATAACTTTAAAAAAGTATTTATTTATTTAGGCTGTGCCGGGTCTTAGCTGCGGCATGCGAACTCTTAGTTGTGGCATGCATGCGGGATCTAGCTCCCCGACCAGGGATGGAGCCCAGGCCCGCTGCATTCGGAGTGTGGAGTCTTACCCACTGGACCACCAGGGAAGTCCCTCAAATAACTTTTAAATTGCAATTCACTTCAAAGATTCTGTAATTTGGTCTTTCATGAATAAGGTATTATCTTATCTGAAAATCAATCAAATTCCAACCAAAATTTAACTATTCGAAGCAATGAGAAATTTAAACTGTGCTATTGTGAGAAAAAAATTCTAATACTAAAAATGATAGACACTACTGTGAGAGAATGAACAGAGATTTAATCTGATAAACAAGGCATTGTGTTATGGCTATGGTATATATATATATATATATATATATATATATATACAATGAAATCTAAGATAACAACTTAACACAGAAAATACTTTCCAAGTCTCTACTTCCACCTAGTGGTAAAACCAACTGCTCTTTAAACTATCAAGCAGTACACAAGAACTTCTGTAATAGCAAAATAAAGACCTCGGAAAATCTGCTTCCCCATAAAAGCAACGAGAACACTGGCAAAAATTGTCAAAATTAACTTTTTCAGAACTCTGGAAATGAAAGGCTTGCAAAAATCTGAGGAGCATCTATTAAAGAAAACAGCTGAATCTTGGTAAGAACACTGAGCTCTGCAGTGTTTTAACTTGTCCTGTTCCCATTCCCCTCTCCCAAGCTCCAAAGTGGACTTAAAAACCAACAGCCTTGAAACTACGAAGAAAACCAGCAGCCTAGCAGCTATGGGATGGGGCAGAAGAGGCCTGAAGATCTCCAAAGCCCCACCTCCAAGATTTATCACTGCTGGACAGCTTGGCAGCTCCCGGAAAGGCTCCATTTTCAGGGCTTGGCTTTATCTGACCTGGCTCTGAGCATGATCTGTGTGAAGAGCTGAAACTCTAGGGTACATGAAATAATCAGTGGTGTGGCTATCTGACACAGTGATACCAGGTGGGCCTAAGAAGAGGCTGACCAAAAAATTCAAAAGGAAAAACTGGGAATGAGATGTTCATAGGGCACTTTGAAAAGCTCCAATACATTCTGGGGAATCTAGAAGGACACTTACACATGAAAGGCTGTGTATATACTGTGCAAGAAAGACCTGAAAGGCCCTATCTCTTACTGTGACTGCCCTGAGGGCTGTGCAAGTAAAGGCTAAGGCAAAGTTGTAAACTCCCTACTTTAGAATTGAAACCATATCCCAACACACACACACACACACACACACACACACACACGCACAGCACTTCGGCACAGGCTGGGAGACCCATTCACTCAGGCATTTAAAAATCCCTCTCTAACCACTAGCAGACCACTAAGCTAACCAAGCAACGACTCCAGGGGTAAAACCTGACAAAGGATAAAGACCACAGAATTAGTCCAGGAACATCACTAAACAAACAACAACAAATCCCAGGTGGACAAATGCAGGGGGGTAAAGAGGGGAATCTGATTTCCAGAGTTGCCACATTGTAATATTTAAAATATCCAATTTTCTAGGGAGACACACCCCTAAAAAAACCCCAAAATAGTAAAGTATGGCCACACACAGGAAAAAAAGCAGTCAACAGAAACTGTCTATGACACTGGTTTCCTAGATAAAGACTTTAAATTCACTTGTATAAATATGTTCAAAGATATAAAGAAAACCACATCTAAAGAACGAAGGTGTGAGAATTATTTCTTACCAATTAATAGAGCATATAAAAAAAGACCAAGCAGAAATTCTAGAGTTGAAAAGTACAATAACTGAAATAAACAATTCACTAGAGGGTATCAACAGCAGATATGAACTGTCAGAATAGTCAGTAAACTTGAAGACAGGTCAATTGAGATTATGCAGTCAGAGGGGCAGAAAGAAAAAAAAACGAAGAAAAATGAATAAAGGTGCGGAGACCTGTAGGACGCCATCACGTGTACCAATATAGAAATGATGGGAGTTCCAGAAGAAGAGAAGAAATAGAAAGGGGTAGAAAGAACATTCAAAGAAATAAAGATGAAAAACTTCCCAAACTTGTGAAAAACATCAATCTGCACATCCCAGAAGCTAAATGAATTCCTAGTAGACACACCATAATCAAAAAACGACAAAGATTCTTCTTGTGTTTTTTGAGATTTAAGCAGTAAGTATATCTAAATTCAAGTTTTTCTTTCTTTCTTTTTTAAAAATATTTATTTATTTGGCTGTGCCAGGTCTTAGTTGCACATAACAAATTTGAGGGCTTTCATAATCAAATTATCACTACTATCAACTGACTAAAATTGGATTAAAATTCGTCAAGAGATTTATTAATCCTTCATGTTGCAAAATTTCTACATTTAAAGTAGAAAATGCTTAAAAAATACCTCCTGAATGTTTTAAAAATAAATTTATCTTCCTTCATTTGATCATTTTCATTCTATTTCTGGACCGACATTGTATAGCAAAGTGCAAAATTATTATAAAAGAACTGTTACTTTACTTGAGGAAATCTATTTTAATTTAGTAGTACTAGTGGATGACTCAAATTAAGATTTCAATGAATTTTAAACACCAAAAAACATTCTGCGTATAGACTACAATCAGCTTAAACAGAAGGATCATTACTCACAAATAATTGGATACCCATCCCGGCTGGCACAGGCTGCTGCTAATATTCTTCCATTGTGGGAGAAAGCAAGACAAAAACATCCTCGCTCTCCTGCATTTAGTGAGAAGAGGTGCTTGTTTGGGATACGGCAAGCCTGAAAAACATACATTTTACCAATATAGATGAAGAATATAGATATATAGATATATAGATATTTTACCAATATAGATAAAGATGAAAATATGAAAGCTAGCTGTTAACTTCAATTATTGTAGCTGTTGCAGTTTCTGGTTTTTTAAAAAGTCCCTCTACTGTGATGCAGAGGAAGAAGCAAGTAAGCAAATGATGGAAAACCATAGTAAATTACTTTCAAAGCAGAGAATCACTTTCAATTCTCCAGAAAATTAAATGAATTTATACTCCATGCCTAATAGCACTATTCACCCAAAATATGAATAGAAAATTTCAATATCTGATACTCCAAAGCTGTCACTACCACATTATTTTTATACAGCCACAAAAATGAATGTATGTTACACCCTTATTTAATGACAGCAACTAATAAGTGATTTTTGCTGAACCATAAACTTGTTCTGAGTCTATAAATGCCATATAGGCCTAGCTGAAGTCCATGATGTACGAATATTCATTCTCTTTCTTTTTTTCTCTCTTAAAATAACCACTATTTGTACTGCCTTCCAAAATGTATTTTCAAAGTAAATCAATCACCTCCTATTGATTTCTCATTCACTAATTTTATTAAAATTCCTTCACAATTTTTATGTTTCATTCCTTATTATCAGATGAAACCAAAACTTTCTGTACATTATTATCTGCTGTAGAAAATACTACTTTTTTTTTTTTTTTTGCGGTACACGGGCCTCTCACTGTTGTGGCCTCTCCCGTTGCGGAGCACAGGCTCCGGACGCGCAGGCTCAGCAGTCATGGCTCACGGGCCCAGCCGCTCTGCAGCATGTGGGATCTCCCCGGACCGGGGCACGAACCCGTGCCCGCTGCATCGGCAGGCAGACTCTCAAACACTGCGCCACGAGGGAAGCCCACTACTTACTTTTATTTGTCCTAATTCTCTCTTTCAAACTTTTGTGAGCCTTAGTTCCTGTGTTTCTTATTATTCAAAAAGTTCAACTGAACATATATTGAGCCCTTACTATATGCCAAGAATGTGGCACTTTATTACAAATGTCTTTTTATATATTCATCACAGTAAACCTGTAATTATTATTACTATATATAGCTAATAAGGATTATTCAGAGGGTTAAGCCCAGCTTAACGGGTCGAGTCAAAGACTACTGGTTCAAGGGCCCGCTTTCTAGATTGGTATCAGCTTTTTCATAAGTAGCATCAAGATTTAGCAGTATTATGAAGAGGCAGCATTATGAGCAGCTACTAGAAAGGCGAAAAATTCAACAGACATTTATTAGGTGCCAATAATGTACCAGACACCATTTTCCCTCCATTCTCTATTGGGATGATATAGAAAAGGGAAAGGGGGATAAAAAGAAGACAAAAATTGAAGGAAAAGTTAGGAAGTTTCATAACCACTTGCTGCTGCTCTTAGAGGAGGAGATGTAGTTAAGGAAAACTCTGTGCCTCATCACTTAAGCCAAACTACTAACGGCACCATCATTTCCTTTGTATTCCCAGAGTTTGACACTGTATGCAGAAGAGGCACTTGATGATCGTTTAATAACAGCAATAAAGATCCTCAACATTTTCAACTCTTTCCCCTTCTTCACTACCTTGTCAGTCACTAACTCACACTAGGTCTTTCCTTTTGTATTTACCTCTTACTTCTCACTTTTGCCACCAATACCCCAAGGTATTGGAGTATTGGACCCTTCTCAAGGTTGGACCCTTCTCATCTCACACATCAATGACTGCAATGGCTACCTTTCTCTCATTCTGATGTATCCTACCTCAAGATCTACCTGCCATCGCCAGCGTTAATCTGTCCTAAAATACAACGGTTATCGTGCTTCCTCCCTATCTGAAACCTCCCATTATCTCTCAATCCCACACAATCAAATATTAGGCTACCTACCATTAGAGCCACTCCACAATGTGGGCCTAATCTATCACACCACTTTTACCTCTTATACAAACTTGGGTTTCCAGCCAGCCAAGTTTTGAGTGCCTGAGGAATACAGCAGGTGCTTTCCCATTTATTTACAACATTGCCACAATATGAAATACTCCTCCCTGTCCTCTTCACCCACTCCTAACTTTGCCATGCTTTAAAGTCTACCTCAAGTTCCACCAACCTGTTGAATGAACCCTTCTTCCACCACTCCAGATCACCTTCTACATAGCTGCAATTCTCAAACTGTTTTAGTTTCAGGGTGCTTTACAGTCTTAAAAAAATTTTGAGGACTCCAAAAAGCTTTTATGTGGCTATATAAACAGCTATTTATTATATTAGAAATTAAAATTGAGAAATTTTTAAAATATTTGTTAATCATTTAAAAAACAACAGAGCAAACCTATTAAATGTTAACATAAATAATTTCTTTTTATGAAAAATAACTACATAAAGTGGAATTGTTCTATATTTTTGAAAATCTTTTTAACATCTGGCTTAATAAAAGAGAGCTGGAATTTCATAACTGCTTCTGCATTCACCCTCTTGTGATATCATGTATCATTTAGTCTCTGGAAAACTCCAGTGTATACTTGTGAGAGAATGAAGGTCAAAAAGAAAAACTAAATCATTATGGAATCATTATGATCTTATTATGAAAATAGACTGACTTCAACAGACCCCTTGAAAGTATCTCAGGACTCCCAGCAGTCCCCAAATCATACTTTGAGAACTACTGATCTAAACAATTATTTTTATAGCTATATTTCCTCAAGACTTCTTTGCAGCAAACCTGACAGTGAACAACACTGTAACCACTTCCCGTGTCCCCAACTGACGTGAAAGGTCCCCAAGGCCACAGTCTAAGTATTATTCTCTCCATATTATTATGTCTGAAGTATTTAAAATTGATTTTAAGATGTATCTGTAAAATTAGCCTCAGAAAGAAAGTCAGATATCATGCAAAACAAAATGTGAACAGGTCTAGGAAAATAGTCATTCGTTGTATATACTGAGTATATAAAATGAACCACTCCACTCTTCATGGAAATAAGAGATTTGCAAAACTTTATCAGTAATGCTTCTTGCCACTACAAAATATGCTAACCAAGTAAGAGAACTTTAGAAAAAGCTTAAATACAGCTCAACTTGTGGTAAAGATATATACATATACCCATCTCTATCAAAATGTGACTCAGGAAGAAGCCAGGAGCTATAAAAAAGTTCATGAATCCATAAATTGTAGATTTACGGGCTGAATTGTGTCCCTCCAAATTCATATGTTGAAACCCTAACCCTAGTACCTCAGAATGTAACAGTATTTGGATATAAGGTCTTTAAAGAGCTGATTAAGTTAAAATGAGGTTGCTAGGGTACAGCCCTAATCTGATAATAATAAGAAGAGACACCAGTGATGCACGCACACAGAGAAAAGACCATGAAGACGCAGCAAGATGGCAGCTACCTGCCAGCCAATGAGAAAGGCCTCAGAGTAAATCAACGCTGCCAACCCTTAATCTGGGACTTCCAGCCTCCAGAATTATGAGAAAGTAAATTTCTGTTGTTTAAGAGGCCCAGTCTGTGATATATTTTTATGGCAGCTCTGACAAACTAATAAAACTCCCCAGGTCACTAAAGAACTTACGATAGTGTCTTTATGCACATGATAGGCACTCTATTATTATTTACCAAATGAATTAATAGAAAGACAAGATCATGGTTAAAAACAAGGATAATCTGGGAGTTTTAAGTAGGAAGCCAGTTACCACAGGAGCTGTTGGCGTTTTTAAGGTAAATGAGTAAATATCTAAATGAATCCAGTGTCAGAGACCACTTCACCTGCCCAGGCAGTCGTTTCCACTTCACCACTTCCTTTGAATCTTCTAATCCAGGTTCTGTGTCTACTGAACGTGCCTCATGGTGTTGTTCACAATACAATGGTTTACCCTTTTCTTCCTGAAGAGCCATCATAGAACGATAAGATGGCTTTATCTAAATATGTATAGAAAGTGAGAAAATGTATATATCACGTTAATCTTTTTCTCTTTTCTAGCATATATGGCTTTTAAAATATTGAAACAAACATTATAATATGAAAATGTTTTCAAAATGTAATCCAGAAAAAAATCCTACTTTTTGCTTGAAATTACAGTCCTAAACCCAAAAGCCTTAAAAGTGGGAAGGAATAAAACAGAACTCCAATAGTTACATAAAATAGTTTTAGTAACTCTGTCCCTTTGTTTCTGCCTCTTCACCAATACCTACCAGATGTTATATTATGGCTCTGACATTGTACTATGGTATCTCTGGCTTTAGGATCATGAAACTGATAACATAAAGATCTAAAGATTTTTAAATCCTCCATTTCTTAAAATAGGTTTAACTACACTCAAACCAATGAAACCAACCCTATGGTCACATTTTATAAGATCAACTACAGAATATGCAATTGGCCTGAAATGTCTTACAGCAATGAGACAAAAGCAAAAGTTTCACCTCATTTTAGGACAAATGCTTCGCTAAGATATTCATAATTTTAACCTATGTGAAACAGAAGTAGAAATATTACTTACTGATTATTTGAATAATATTGTAAAAAAATGTGCCTGTAATTCATGGGTCTGCAAGCTATGGTCTGGGCCAAATGTAGCCTGATGATGTTTTTGTAAATAAAGTTTTATTTGAACACATCCAAACCCATTTGTTTAGTTATCACCTACATATGTCTATGTAGCTACTTTCACGTTATAAAGGCAAGGTTGAGTGGCTCCAACAGAGACTGTATAGCCTACAAAGCCTAAACTATTTACTGTCTGGTCCTTTATGGAAAATATTTGTCAACTCCCACTTTAAATCATTCTCTTATCTTTAATTTTTAAGGATCAGTATTATTAAAAAAATGTATTTTTTTCCTAAAACTGAAATCTATACTTAGTACTTAAAATTCATTTAAGTATCTTTTAAGTATCAGCTATTACAGGCTTAATATATAATCTCTGAAGGTCCCTTTCTATTTCAGAAGTCTATTAAAATAATTCTAAAGACTCTACCTTTTTAGAAATAGAAACATGTCACCATTTAATCTCAACAATGGAAGATATATTTTTTGCATGCGCTATTAACTTACACATTCTGGAACTTTTAATCCTCTTACAGTTACATACAACGTTGATGGATAACGATTTCTTGGACATTTTAACCACCACTCAAAAACCTCAACGACATTTGATTGGGATCGAGGCTTTGTGGGTGGGTAATACAGCTGCAAGCGAAGTTTCGAATTGATGTTTACATTTCCATTGGCTCCTAGAAGCTTAAAATAAGAATTCAAATAAAACGTTACCTTCATTGAAAATACAACCAATAAAGCAATAGTATATAGTCAAAAACTCATTTTAAAAAGATTAACATGGCATGCTGAAATTCTTTAGATTTGTAAAGCAGAGGAAAGAACACTGACACAGTTGGTCAAGCACAGTTCCAGGTCATTTTGACAAGATAGCCCAAATGACTTAAAATATCTTCCCAATGGCTGTGTCTTTTCCCCTATACAACTTCAGACTGTTGGTAAAGCATTTACATTACTGTGCTGGGTGTTACTTTGTTCAAAGGAGGTGATCAATACACATTTGTTTGTAATAATACTGTTTGTAATAAAGATTAAAAGGCATATTATTTAAACAGAAACAAATTTCCCATTTGTTCAGCATCAGTATTTTTAGTGGTAAAATTTCATGATGTTTAAATTTTTAAAAAGTCAAAATTATTTTAAAAAAGTAATTAAGATACTTAAACTTGTTTGAGCCCCTTACTACATTTTTAAAATATTTTAGTCTACCCTCTTAAAAAGGTCTATTCAATCAAGAGAAACTAGTAAACAAGACAACGTATGTTTCAGCTACATAAATGGAGATTCTTATGAGAAAAATAATGTCACCAACTCAAAATAGGTCCTCTTTCACTAGACTATGACTCAAGTAGAAAATACCTTTGCTAACTTTTGTGCCCTTTACAAATTAGTAGAGACAGTTGGGAGCTTTTGCAGCAGTTTAGGCAGGTGGAGCTGACAAACTCCAAGAGTAGGAAGGGACCGAGTACAGGGAATATTTAATAACTGTTACTGACTCATGCAACTTGGAAAGTAAAAACGAGAAGAATCAAGAAAGACTCTAAGGTAGCGCTATCCAACAGAACTTTCTGTGGTGATGGGCATGCTCTCTATTTGTGCCACGCAAAACAGTATCCATTAGTCACACATGGCTATCGAGCATTTGAAGTGTGGCTAGTGCAGCTGTGGAAATTAATTTTTAATTATATTTAATTTTAGCTAATTAATCTGAATTCAAATGGTCACTTATGACCTGTGGCTACCAAAACAGATAGGGCAGCTCTAAGGTTGTAAACTTGGGAGACTGGACAGATGGTGGTGCTACCAACTGAAGCAGCAGATGTGGAAAAGTTAAGAGATCTAGGGAAGATGTTCAGCATGGGGGGGGTCAGATATCTATGGGTCACCCAAGTTGAAATGTCTGAATTCTGAGGCACACACAAGAAAAGTGGGTCTAAGAAAAGTGGATTAAAGATGGAATCATGAGTAGGATTGATATTAAAGAGATAGGTGGTAGACCAGGAAGGAAACTGAAGGAACTGAAGGAATGGGATAAGGAAAATCAGGAAAGGATGGTGTCGAGAAAACCAAGGTAACAAGAGTTTCAAGAGAGTGATATCATGCACACAGGTGTGATAAAAGAAGAACTAGAAAATGTTCAATAATTTGGTAAATAGAAGTCATAGTGATATGTTTGGAGAAGCTTTAGTAGCTGAGGCAAAATCCAGATTGCAGTGTGTTCAGGAATGAGGCATCAATAAAGAAACAGAGCTGGCAAAAAATATAGCTCATCGTTTCCCTACCCCTCTCAGGGGAAGATGTAAAGTCAATGGAGGTCGTAAGCTGAGAGGTGATGTTATGATATAGAGGCGTAAAAAACCAGTTTCAAATTGAGCAATTGAGATGTTCAGTTGTTAAATATTAAACAGTCGAGATTCCCTTCATAAACTGTACTACTATCTGCCTGAAGCTTATCATAAGGGAATAATATCATTTTTAGAAGATATTTATTCCCCAGATTCTAAATCATACTTTCCATAAGTTGTATTAATATTCACCAGGCAATTTAGTTTATACTAGTATGCTACTTAGTATGAGTAAACAACTAAGATTCAGCCAAGATCCTGCCATTATGATTACAAACTACAAAGTGGAACTTGAATAAATAAGGCTTTATTATTTTTTAGTTTAAAAGATCAGTCATATATATGTGCTAAAAGAATCAAAAGCGCCTCTACCTGAGAATTAGGATAAAGTCTCATTTAAATCTGGACAAAGATCCTTTGGGGTTCATTTGGACCACTATGATAACTTTACAGTTATCTAGGACAGTCCTGGAACCAATGGTATAGGTTTTAAAACATTCACATTTTAATTTGATTCATGCCACTTTCTCAATAGATATTCACGGAGTACTTTCTATGTGCCATTAATATGCGGAGAGTGATGATATTATAAAATAGAGAGTTTGAAGAGTGATATATTAAATGCAAAGAGATCTGGTAAAATAAGGACTAAAATATGTTCAACAAATTGGCCAAAAAGAATCACCAGTGACTTGAAAAGCTTACAGTCTAATGAAAGAGATATGTGTTCTAATAGAGGATGCACACAGAATAATGTACACTTTATTCCTGACTGCCATTTATATCAATGGCATAAAGTGGATAAATAAATAAAACTTAATATGACACAAAGGTAAAAATGCTGTGAAATACATTGTTTCCCAAGTGCAGTTTACAGTAAATACTGCAGTTCTGCACAAACCATAGCATAAAAGGAATGAAAAGTTTCTAATAAGACCACAAGATGGCAATGTTTACTATGTGAAAGTGACCTTCTTTGCAGTTTTTTTGTTTGTATTTTTGCCTTTTTCTTTTTTATTTGGTATGAGAGGGGGTCTAGAAAAAGGTATAACAGGTTATAGAAGGGAGATTTTAGAAGGTACAATGGACTAAGTGATTCTTCAGCCTATCAGACTGCCCTTCAGCAAGCAGACTGCACCTCTCCTAAAGCCTCTAACCCACAACATGGATTCAGTGCCCCATCTGGGTCTTCACAGCATCTACGCCATAGCACGTAATCATATAGGTAATACGTTTATACAGAAACTGAACTGGAGGCCAAGGACAATGTCTAATTTATCTATGAATGCCCTATATTTAGCAGAGTACCTGGCATTTCATAGACTATTTTCATAGACTATTTACCATGTACATTTCAAATAGTAAATACTTGTTGAATAGATGGATGCACAAATGGAAAAGTTTTATAATACAAAACAGGTTAATTACTCAAGACATTTTAAAACTCAAATTTATGTTTAAAGTCAGAAATAAAAGAATTATGTAAGTAAAATGTCCCCCTTTTTAAACGTTAATCTATCCACGTCTTTCATCTCTGCTGAAACATCCTAGTCAAGACACCATCATTTTATACCTAGACTACAGCAAGAATTTCCTACCTTCATTTCCAGTACATACCTTTGTACCCTCTCTAATCCATTCTCCACTCAGCAAAGTAATCTTTCTAACAAATAAATCAGATTATTTCATCCTTTTGTTTAAAATCCTTAAACGGCTTCCCATTACTTTTTTTTTTTTTTTTTGGCAGTATGCGGACCTCTCACTGTTGTGGCCTCTCCCGTTGCAGAACACAGGCTCCAGACACGCAGGCTCAGCGGCCATGGCCCACGGGCCCAGCCGCTCCGCAGCATGTGGGATCTTCCCGGACTGGGGCACGAACCCGTGTCCCCTGCATCAGCAGGCAGACTCTCAACCACTGCGCCACCAGGGAAGCCCCCCATTACTCTTTAAAGTTTATAATGGTGCCCTGTTGCTATAATGGCTCAAAGACCTTGTATTATCAAGGCCCTGTCTACCTCATTAAGCTCTTCAGGCACCATTTCCCCTTCAGTCTCTGTCCTCCAATCTTAGTGGCCTTCTTGTGGTTATCTAGGTATTCCTTGTTCCTTCCAACATCAGGGTCTTTGCATAGCCTGTAGCCTCTACCTAGAACTCTCTCTTTCCCACTACTGCCATCCAGCTCATGCTCAGGTTCAATGTCTCTTCTGCAGGAGACCTTTTCCTGACCCCGCAGGATGTTTTCATCATCTACCCCATCCAACTTGAGAGTATTTATAAAAATTGTAATAAATGCTAAGTTGTATAATCAATTGTTTTATGTCTGTTTTTCTTGCTAGAATATGAAGGCCATGAGGTCAAGGAGTTTATCTTCTTTGTTCACTGACCAGAACAGTGGCTGGCACATAAATAATAAATAATTTGTTGAGTTGAATAAATGAGGTCAGGGCTGTGTGTGTCTTTCTCTGTGCTGGATCCTTAGAGCCAAATAGTGTACCTGGCACACACTAAGCACTCAATAAATATTTAAGAATCTGAATGAGCATCACCTGAGCTTGAATTAATAACTCTTTACCATGGCAATCTTACCTCCTTATCATAACTCCGTATATGAAACCAAACTGACTTGGAAAAAAGTAGCGCATCAGATTTGAAGATTATTTTAAACATTCTTTAAAATGGATGAAAAACATACCTTGAGAAATGCCCAGGCGATTTTCCGGAAGCCACATTCTTGGTTTCGAATTTCAGAGCTGTTCTTAATTTCTTCCATGCTTAAGAAATCAAGAATCTGTAAATAAGCATAACAAATTACTTCACAGTATACTAGGCTATCTAAAATTTAATATTTCCTAATAATGTATTATTAAATTTTTAAAAATCCTCCCTTAGAGAAGAAAAACATTTTTATTTCATCTCACTCACTTTTGAGTTAACTCATCCAGTTAGTAAGGTCCATTTTTTGACCACTTTATCTTTTATCAATAAATCTTTAAGATTTATTTAAAATTCAAGACAAAGCATTAATTACCTCAAATATAGTCCTGGCAAAAATAACCAGGCACAAAATTCTTAAGCTTTGCTCTTTTTTTAATGTATGAGTGCAGACTTCAAAGAATTGTTTGTTTAAAAAACTCATGGCCTTAATCTGTGGGTTTTTCCTTGGATCAGCTTCCTGAAATTGGGTATTTTCTCTTTGGATATATGTTGTCATTAGGCTTCTCAAGAGAACTTCTTTCATATCTCTACCCTAAGTGGATATTAAAGCTCATGGATTTGCAACCAACCTGCCACAGAGACTACATGTATTCTAGGTACATGTCAGAGACTACCACTTCCTGGTGCTTATCAAAAGCTCAGCTGAGATAACAAATCTTTATAGAGGACTGCTTAAAACATAATATGCACTCCATTTATTCCTCTTCTTTATATACTTAAACTTGTCTTCAATGTAATACATTCTCAGTGAAAAAAATAATGACAGTATAAGAAAAATATAAAATAAAGTAAAAACTTATAATCCAGACCCATAGCTGATCAACATTAACATCTAGTTTATAGGTATCTAAACCTTTTTGTGTGTTCCAATGCTATCTGCAAACTATTTTCATGTAATATGTAGTGGATAGCTCGAGTCAATACATACATATGTATACCATCATGTTAATGGCTGCCTAGTATTCTTCTGTATTAGAAATATCATAAATTTAATTAAAAAACATAATTTATTTAACCAAACCTCTTGCTAATTGAAGAGATCTGTTTCCTTAAAATTTCTGCTATTATAAACACTGCTTAAATAAATATCCTTACACACACATCTTTGTGCATTTGTCATTTTTCCCTTAGGTGAAATACCTGAAAATGGAATAATAGCTTTAAGAACCTCTGATAGATATTATCGAGTGGTCCTCAATACACCATTAAAAAGTTGAAATCAAAAATTAGTTTTGTAGACAATAACATTTTATGTCAAACCTTAAGAATCGTCCAGGCTTCCCTGGTGGCGCAGTGGTTGAGAATCTGCCTGCTAATGCAGGGACACGGGTTCGAGCCCTGGTTTGGAAGATCCCACATGCCGCGGAGCAACTGGGCCCGTGAGCCACAACTACTGAGCCTGCACGTCTGGAGCCTGTGCTCCGCAACAAGAGAGGCCCCGATAGCGAGAGGCCCACGCACTGCAATGAAGAGTGGCCTCCGCTTGCCACAACTAGTGAAAGCCCTCGCACAGAAACGAAGACCCAACACAGCCCAAAATAAATAAATAAATTAAAAAATAAATAAATTTTTAAAAAAAGACTTGGGTTTAACACCCCAAAAAAAAATTTTTTAAAAAAAGAATCAACCAAAAGTGTTTATAATTCAACAACCTAACTTTCTTAAATCTCATAATATTATTAAAATGAGTATAAAATAATATTATGATAATGGAGGACAAATTTCTATGACAAAGAAACAGTACCTTTATATACAAATTATATCATTTTTTTAAAAAGCATGGCTTTGTACAAATCATACAACATAATCACAATTGTAAATGGTGGATTCATACCATAAGCACACTAGATCATCTGAAAGTTAAGGATCATAAAAACAAGTGACTCTACAAAATAAGTTATTGGCTCTGGTCATGCCTTGCTTTTTCCCATGCTAAAATTCCCCATCTTGCTTAAACTGGAGGAGAGGCTTTCTCTCCTTTCCTTTGCTTATGGAGAGATAACATGAAGTAGGGAAAAGAAATGTGGTATTTTAGATTCAAATTATCTTTAAATACTAATTACCTTCATCTAAAACTGGAGTAACTCTGGGATAATCACTTTATACTTTGAGCCTTCATTTCCTTTGCAGTAAAAAATTAGAAATAATAAGTCAGCTAATATCCAAACTATGTAAAAAACTCTTACAACTCAATAGTAAAAAAATAATCGGATTAAAAAGTGGGCAGAAGATATGAAGAGACATTTTTCTAAAGAAGACATCTGGCCAACAGGTATATGAAAAGATGCTCTACATCAAACATCATCAGAAAGATGCAAGTCAAAACCACAGTGGGATGCCACCTCACTCCTGTTAGAATGGCTATCATCAAAAAGATTAGAATGAGTGTTGGCAAGGATGTAGAGAAAAGAGAACCCTCGTGCACTGCTGGTAGGCATGTAAACTGGTGAGGCTACTGTGGAAAACAATATGGAGGTTCCTCAAAAAATCAAAAGTAGAACTACCATATGATCCAGCAATTTCACTTCTAGGCATTTATCCAAAAAACCCACAAAAACCCTAATGCAAAATTGTTCATTGCAGCATTATTTACAGTGCAGATGTGGAAACAACTTACATGTCCACTGATGAATGAATGCATGAAGAAATTGTGGTATACACACACAGACACAGACACACAGACACACACACATACACACACACACACACACAAAATGGAATATTATTAAGCCATAAAAAGCAATGAAATTTTGCCATTTGTGACAACATGGATGGATCCCAAGGGCATTATGCTAAGTAAAATACGTCAGAGAAAGACAAATACTGTATGATCTCTCTAATATGTGGAATCTAAACAAACAAATAAACTAACCAAGATAATAGATACAAGAACAGATTGATGGTTGCTAGGGGCGGGGGGTGGGGGTTAAGAGAATAGGTGAACTGGTTTGGGTTTTTTTTAGTTTAAATAAATTTAATTCTTTAAAAAAGGTCAGCTCACAGGCGCTCTACTCCATAAAGCTTTCCCTGACTGCTATGACCCTCCACTAACCCTTGACATCTAAGAAGTTCTACTTCATTTTGGTTATATGATACATTGTATTAGTCAAGCGATCTGTGTATTTTCTTCTTTATTTCTCCTAGTAGTATACAAAATCTTAGGAAGTCTAATACAGTTAAATGAGTTTATTCTTTGTGAAGAGGGTTAAAAATGGAAGGCTGCTTAGACATAGATTAGATTCATCACTTCAGTGAATAGTCATGGCATTGTTGTAAGGATTAAATAATACAGAATAAATCAAATGGCTAACTACTTGTACTAGTAAAGGCTCAGCAAAGACACGATTACTTGTATCTCCATAGCACATTACAAATACATTATTCCTAGAGGTCAAATTCTCACACTACTTTGTTGTATTATTGATCTACTAAAATAATAGCTTATATCTGTGCTATTAAAATATTAACTAAAATTTAGTTTAAACTGCTCTATTCAATTCATACCTCAAAGAACAGGATGACTTTAGGACTCTCATCAAAATCTCGAAGCAAATAGGGAAAGTTTTCATTAAATATAATTTGTTCTTCCCACTCTGGAAGTCTTGATTTTAACTGTTTAAAGTCATATGGCTGGGTCATAACAGGAAGAATATAATCCACATTCTCCTTTTCATAGTAAGATGAAACAGGCCGTTCACTGTTCAGAAAAGATACTTCCATTAACACAGTTCTTTACAATTTTAAGGCAAGAAAAAAATAGAGTGATAGTGTTCAAGATGATAAACAGCCATGATACATAAGGAAAAAAATTTTATCTATCTAGAAAACTACAAATTTTATACGACGTAAAAGTAGTAGTATCTTAGTTTCATCTTGTATTTACATACTATCAGTCAGTTTCATAGAATTACTTTATTATTTACACATAAAGTGAGAGGTGTGATTACACCTTTGGCATACAAAGCTGGAATTAAGTAACACCTTCAGAATCTTAAATGAGTTTGTGATAAATTAGTACATTAGATTTAAATAACAAAATGATCACAACAGGATTGTAAGTACTTTGAGGTGTGTCATATTTTCTTTGTATGCTCCAAGACAAATGAATAAGTGAATACCATTTCTGATAATTTTCAAGTTTCCCAGGCCTGCCATTTTTCCAAACAAACACCTTTTTTTGAATTCTAGTACTGTCATTTATTTTATCAATATTATACTTCCTATTTGGGCCTTCAAACACGTATTAGCTATAGAATTAATATTAGGAAAAATTAAATTCAAGACATTTGTCTCATCTGAGGCACAGATAACATATTAACTTCAAAAGAAAAAAATGAGGTTAGAGACAATTAAAGCAGTGCCACATCAGATGACTTACAATGCAAGTTAAATGCCATACAATGAAAGTTAAGCTTGGGAGAAACTCTCTCAACTCCCCTTCACTTAAAATGAATTACTGAATTAACACATGTTCTCCATTTCTTCTATAAAACATACTGATCAATATCAATGGTTGATGAACACCTACAATTAGTATACCATTCTCTAATACACATCTATATATAGCTCTATTCCCATTGACTGTCAATGGCAGAAAAGAGACTTCTATGGTAGACAGTTTCAATTTCAAGGGTTGGCTGCACAATTTAAAAAATTACCTGTCATCTTTCTTGACATATTGACCAGTATTCTCATCAACCACATGAATTTTCACCATCGGGTGAGAAATCATAAAATCTGACTTAAGCCGATCAGTTCGGTGAATGTAAACTCCCAGGACAAGGTCATCATCAAGCAAACATTTGGGATAAACTGGACTATCTCGGCTTGTTATTTCATGAACACCGTCACCATCAGTGTCTTCATTATCATCTGAAACTACATGCATGGAAGAAAATCAATGTTATAATTAATTGTTCCCATAACAATATACTCAACAATAAACACTGAATTTACAGATTATCTAATCCTAGTGATCCATGATTATTTGTCTTTGTTAACAAAGGCACTTCAAGGAAAAAGAAAGAAAAAGCCAGATAATAGCAGACTACACTCTGAGAGTAAATATTGCATTTACTAATGCACTAAAATAGGGTGAGGTAGCTTTCTTTTTTTCCCTAACAAGGACTAACAACACAGAAAGAAAAAAATGAGAGCCAAAGACAAAAAAGTAATTTCATTTAGAAATTTTCTAAGTGGAATATGTATCACTCAAATTTCTGCTTCTGGGTAGGATGCAGTAGGATGTTGCAGGTCAATGTTTCTGGTAACAACAACTTGAAAAAGCCAAATAAATTTTGAAAACCTTATTTTTAAAGGCATCAGAAAAGTAGAGAAACAATGTATAGTAGATGGACTAAAATTCCAGAGAGGGAGAATCAATCGGGGGTAAGCTGATGGACTGGCAACTGTTTCAGTGTCTGGGGACATTTGCTGATTAGCATATGAGCAGAGGACCCAAGAAGAAGGTCACTACTGGGAGAAAGAGTAACCAGCAAAATTTTTAGTGGGTGCATGGGGTTAAGTGATAAATTCAGCCTCAAACACAAGGCCAACGTGAGAGGCTGAAGAGGTAGTAAAATCTCCCAGTCTTGTGGTACTAGGAAACAATGACCCACCAGAGGGAGGGGCCTGAAATGAAACAGGCAAGGAGGAAGCCCTGGAGGGCATGGTCATTTTATGCCTACAGCCACTTTTCACCTGGGGTCACTTACCAATTCTGGGCGCATCTAGAGGTTGAGAATCCAGGCGTACCCCCTGGCAGAAGGCCCCTACTGGGGGACAGAGAAACCAGCAGAGATTTTGGCATTCACGCAGGGCTGGAGTGACAAAATTGGAGACTTCAGGGGCCTCAAACACACGGCCAGTCTCTCCCTCAAGACATTTGCCAAAATTTGAAGTTGCATGGGGCAGAAGGCTAAAGGACTAAGCTGAGACCTCTGAAAGGCAAAACTGAATCTCCCAAAGTCTTTTAGAGTGGACAAGACAAATACCTGCCAGGCTCTCAATCTGAAACACCTGGAAGGGCACATCCTAGGAACAGGGCAAATCAGAGATAGAGTCTTACCAAAACTGCAACCCAGATCTGACTTAGCTCAGATTAGTTGAAATCAGTTGCCCACCCTGTCTGCCTAAAAGTGGAAAGAGGAAACCCTCTCTAGTGGAAGATAAAATCATCTGGAGCCTCTGGGATTCTATACACCATGTCCAGCATATAATACAAAAGTTACTAGACATAAAAGAGGCAAGACTGTATGACCAATAACCAGGAGAAAACACAGAAAACAGAAGCAGACCCACATATGATTCAGCCTGGAGTTAGCACAGGAAAGACAGACAAAATTATTTTTAAAAATAGAGACTTTCTACAGAGAATTAAAACTCATAAAAATAACAGGCATTATGGAACTGAAAAATGTCTGAAATTAAGAATTCAATGGATGTGTCTAAAAGCATACTGGACACAAAGGAAGACATTATTAGTGAACTAGAAGAAAAATCAATATAAATATCCAAACCAAAGCATAATGGAAAAAAAAACAAAAGAATATGGGGGAAAAAGAAACATAAGAAACATGTGGACAATCTCAAAAGAGCTTGTGAAATTATAATCTAGAAAAACAGGAGAGGATGATGAAGAAGCCATATTTAAAGAAATAATGACTAAGAATTTTCCACAACTGATAAATGATATCAATCAGTAAACTCTAAGCAGGGTGAATTCCATCAAAGCTATATTTAGGCATAGCATGATAAAACGTTGAAACCAAAGACAAAAGGGAAATCTAAAGAACAGCCAGAGGGAAAAAAAAGACAACAGTCCCCTCAAAGGGACAGAAATAAGACTGCAGTTGGGAACAAAAATGATGGAAGCCAGAAGACAACTGTATGATTTCCTGTAACCTAAAATTATATATTAGTAAATATGCTTCAAAAATGAAGGTAAAGGCATTTTAACACAACAAAATCTGAGTGAATTAGCAGGCCTGCACTAAGAGAGAGAATAAACTGAATTCTTCAAGCAGATGAAAAATGGAAAAATGGAAATAAAGGAAAAAGTAAATTTGGGGGTGAATATAAATTAATATCAACTGTACAAAATGGTAACTGTAACATCTGTGAAGTTTAAAATATATATAGGCCTAAAATACAGGATAAGAACCTAGAAGGCAGGAGGGGGGATAGATGCAGAGAAAGAAAGCACCTGACAAAATCCAAATGGAGTCAAACTATTCTCATGTTTTAGTCGTGTCGGGGAAGTGTATTTTGTTAGGGAGTTAGTTTGTATTAGACTATAATAAGTCAAGAATAAACTTAATGTTCTTCAGGGTATCAGACAGTAGAAATATGTGTAATTAATAAGTTAATAAGTTAATAGAGGGAACAAAATTTTTAAAGTGACCTGAATAATTCAAAAGAAGGCAAGGAGAATAAGGAACATAAAACACTTAGGTCAGGGCTTCCCTGGTGGCGCAGTGGTTGAGAGTCCGCCTGCCGATGCAGGGGACACGGGTTCAAGCCCTGGTCTGGGAAGATCCCACATGCCGCGGAGCAACTGGACCCATGAGCCACAACTACTGAACCTGCGCGTCTGGAGCCTGTGCTCTGCAACAAGAGAGGCCCGCGCACCGCGATGAAGAGTGGCCCCCGCTCGCCGCAACTAAAGAAAGCCCTCGCACAGAAACAAAGACCCAACACAGCCAAAAATAATAAATAAATAAATAAAAATTAAAAAAAAAAAACACTTAGGTCATATGGAAAAACTAACAGTGAGGTGATAAATATAAGGACACAGAAAGGTCGCAAACAAGAGGATATTGGGGGAGGCACAAGAGCACTTCACATTTATTGGGCACCTGTCCCCAAGGAGTTCACAGCCCGGGGGCTGAGACCCCACATGTGCTGGAGTAGGAGAAGAAAAGAGGTGAAGTCAAAAAGGAAAGGAATACAGACATACTGTGGCCCAAACAAAGGAAGTACAAAGAAGGCACACACAGGGAGCCTAGGGGCTAGTAGAGGAATGAAGTACTGGCAAGCCCTGCCTAGACCTGGAGACCATGAACCAAGCACAGATTTGAAGGCTGTCCTTTCTCAACCAGGTTGGCACCACCTAGGGGTACACTGTGGATGATGCTGGAGAAATGAGGAAGGGAAAAAATGTACTATGCAAACTCAGACCATAAGTAGACTTTAAGGGAGAATGGTTACCAGAGATAAAGGACACTGCATAATGACTGCTATAGACTGAATGCCTATGACTCCCCAAAATTCATATGTTGAAATCCTAACCTTCAATGAAATAGTATTAAGAGGTTGGGCCTTCAGACAGTGATTAGGTCATGAGGGTAGAGCCTTCATGAATGGGATTACTGCCCTTATAAAAGAGAACCCAGAGAGCTCTCTTGCCTCTTCCACATTGAATCTGCAGGCATCTTGATCTTGGATTTCACAGCCTCCAGAACCATGAATAATAAATGTTTATAGTTTAAGCCATTCAGTCATAGTATTTTGTTATAGCAGCCTGAATGAACTAAGACAATAATAAAAGTGTCAATTTGACAGCAAGATATAACAATCCTAAGCACGTATATATATTCAATAACATAGCTCCAAAATATATAAAGAAAAAAATGACAGAAATAAAAACAGAAATGCAAAATAATAGTGGGAATTTTAATACTCGTCTCAGTAGCCAATACAATAAGCAGACAAAAACAAAAAATCAGTAAGATGAGAACACAAAACTTGATGTGATATACACAGGACACCACCGCACCCAATAACATCAGAATCCATGTTCTTTTCAAGTGCACGTGGCATATTTACCAAATCGATCATAAGGTGGTCATAAAGAAAGCTGTGATAAATTCTAAAGATTGAAATCATTCACAATATGTTCTTTGACAACCATGGAAGATAAAAACCAAAAAAAAAAAAAAAACAATAACTAGAAAATCACCTGCTGCCTGAAACTAAACAATATGCTTCTAAATAATGAATGACCAAAGAAATTTAAATAGAAATTAGGAAATATTTTTATGGAATGATAATGAATATAGAACATATCAAAAATTTGTGGGATGCAGATAAAGTAGTGCTTAGATGGTAACTTAATGTGTTAGACGCATACAAAGGAAGACTGAAATCTTAAAAAATCCACCTGTAAAGCTAGAAATCAACAGCAACTCAAACCCAAAGAAAGTAGAAAAAAGGAAATAATATAGATAGAAGAAATTACCAAAATCATACACAAATGTATAATAGAAATAAAAGCTAGAGGTTGGTCCTTTAAAAGTATTTATAAATTGAAAATCCTGAGACTAATGAAGAAATAGAGGGAATCTAATTACCAATATCAAGGGGTACCCTTTCAGATACTATAGACATACAAAATTTGAAAATCCATATTAAATGGACAAATTCCTCAAAAAATAGAGTCTATCAAAGCTGACAGAAGAAATGGAAAATATGAAGAGTCTGGTATTTATGAAAGAAACTAAATCTGATTTAAAATTCTTTCCACAAAGAAAACCTTGGCCTAAGAGGCTTTATTAGTAAATTCTTCAAACATTTAAGGAAGACGTAACACCAATTTATACAAATACTTACAGAGAATTGAAAAGGGAAGTATTTCCCAATTCCTTTTGAGACCACCAAAACCCTGATATTAAAAACTCTGTGTATTTTAAGAAAGAGTAGTACAAACCAATCTCTCTCATGACTACAGTTACAAAAATCCTTAACACAGTATCAGCAAATCAAATCCAGTAATAGATTTTTAAAAAGAGAGCTAATACACCACAACAAAGTGGGTGCCCCCCACCTCTGCCAGAAACATAAAGATGGCTTAATAATCAAGTAACGATTAACCACATTAATAGAAAAAAGGGTGAAAATTAATATGATTATGTTGATAGATGCAGAAAAAGCACCTGATAGAATTCAGTATCTAGTCATAATAATAATAAACTATTAGCTAATTAGGAATAGCCAGTAATTAATCCAATAAGAGGTATTTACAAAAAAACCTACAGCAAACATCACAGTCAGTGGTGAAATAATGGAAGCTTTCCCCAAGGCTGAGAGCTAGAGAAGGATACTTGTTATTGTCACTTCTATTTAACACTGTAATCAAAGTCCTAGCCAGTGTTATCAAGGTAAGAATAAGGAGTAAGACATAAGAACTAAAAAGGAAGCAATAAAACTATCATTATTAACAGAAAGACCTATTATAAACCTATAGAACTAAGACATGGTGGTGGTGTTGCTGCAAACCATCTAAGGATAGAGACTAGTGAAAACTGACCCACTTACACAGTCATGTTATTTATGATAAAAGTGACACTGAAATGCAGAGGAAAAGCTCTCTTCAGTAAATGGTACTAGGTCAATTATATATTCATACGAGAAAAAAATGGGTCTGGACCACTACCACTATTAAAAATCAATACCAGATAAACCGGAAATCTAAATGTGAAAAGTGAAACAAAAAAACTTTTAGAAAATAATATGCAGAGAAACATCTTCACGACTTGGGAAAGATCTCTAAAATCACAGAAAGCACTTAACATTGAAGGGAAAAATGGATACACTGGGCTATATAAAATTTTTAAATTCCGTTTTTCAAAAGATATCAGTAGGAAAAAAATGATAAAACCCAGAGTGGGAAGATATTTGCAATATATATATGTATTTATATTTGAGAAAAGACTGCTATCTAGTTATCTAAAATATTCTTACAAATTAATTAGAAAAAGGCAGACAATTCCATTTCTTAAAAAAATACACAGAAGATGTGAACAAATTTACAATGAAGGAATCCAAGTAGTCAATTAACATGAATAAGATGCTCAACTTCACTAGTTACCATGGAAATCAAATCAAAGTCAACAGGGAATAATCATTAAACACTCCTAAGAATCACTAATATTTTAAAACACTGACAATATAAATATTGGTGAAGATGTAGAGTAATGGAAGCTCTCAAATACTGCTAGTATCAATTGGTAACCCAAGTTTGGAAAGGGAGAAGTGCCTGTTAAAGTGAAAAATATACATACTCTATGGCATAGCAAGAATGCCAAGAATGTGCCCAAGGAAAATGTATACACGTGCTCACCAAAGATGTGAACAGAATGTTCATTATAGCTTTATTTATAATCGCTTAATACTAGAAACTCCTCAAATGTCCATCAACAGAATAGGTAATTAATTGTGGTATATTCACACAACGGGTATCTATACAGTACAAATACAGGACTGATGATGCATAAGCTCAAGTGCATGCAACAACAGTATAAATCTCACAAAAATAATTTTGAGCAAAAAAAGCCAGGCACAAAGAGCACGGTATTTATTGTTCTATTTATATTAAAGCAGAAAAACCAGGAAAAATTGGCTATGTGTTCGATGAAAAGGCAGCGTTTACTCCTGTAGGATAATGAACAGGAAGGGAACTTGTGGGGGCTTCTGGGTGCTAATGATGCTCTGGCTCTTAATTTGGATGATGACTTTACAGACACGTTCAGTTTGTGAAAATTCACTAAGTAGTATACTTGTAACATGTACATTTTACTTTTTAAAAAATTAATTATGGAACCACAAAACACCATAAATTGCATCATCTAATGAATAAGTACCATAAAGTCTAAAATTGCTTATTTTAGTCCCAATTTTTGGCCAGTTAAATGGGAATTGAAAAGAAAAAAAAAAAAAGAAATGTAACAAGCAGAAGAAAGGCAAGAATAAGTAAAGAAAAATAAGAAAAATGAAATGAGTAAAGAGGAAGGTAGAAAGCAAGAGGTAAAATGAAAAGTGGGCAGGAAGGAGAGAAGCTGAATTAGGAGAAATTGTGAAGATACCATGTTTGACAGAGGGATGCAGCTTTAACATCTGAAATGTTTATCGGTTGTTGACCATTTTATAGCTTTCAGTGCTGTAAGTCTTAATTATTTAGGGGCAATAACATAAAGAAGAAATCTTCTATGCCACAATAGCAACAACAAAGTCAACGTCATTCTAGAGGTGAATCAAGTCGTTAATTAGAGATGACGCAAGTAAGACTAACTCATCACAGAGGTCCACAGTTAAAAATAAATGTTATAATCTGGACGAATCCAAGAATAAGTACCAAATATTCTATATTGGATTTTTTCAATTATATCCTTTGGAACTAGATTTTTAGTTTTAAGGACTAACAGTCCTAGAATCAAGTTATTCTTACCAAGGCACACATTTTTCATTTAATTTGGGTAACAAACCTGTTTTAGCCTTCTTCTTTTTTTTCGGTTTGGATTTTGCGTCATCTTGCACATTGTCTTCTACATTTTGTTCCTTTGAGCTTATTTCATCATCTTGATGAGAATCTGAAGTAACTGCTCCAACTGGAGATTCCTTCTTTTGTTCACCTTCAACTGGGTCATCAGAGATGATCAATGTACTGCAAATATAATCCAAGTTCAAGCCATTGGAAATGTACCATTATTATTATTACTGTGCAGCAAAGTAAACAGTGAATAGAGGCAAAGATAATCCTAAAATCAATATTATTTCCTGCTGGGAGATACATATATTTTCTTACAAACAAAAATGGTTGGCTGCCAAACTAGGTATTATGTGTACTCAGTTACACTTGGTGATACATTATATACCCCATGAGCCACATTAAACTCGTCTCTAAACTCCAGGGAAAAGTGAAATTGTATTTTATGATTGATGGATCTGTTTTTTTTTGGTTTTTTTTTTTGCGGTACGCGGGCCTCTCACTGTTGTGGCCTCTCCCTTTGTGGAGCACAGGCTCCGGACGCCCAGGCTCAGCGGCCATGGCACATGGGCCCAGCCGCTCAGCGGCCATGGTGCACAGGCCCAGCCGCTCAGCGGCCATGGCGCACAGGCCCAGCCGCTCCGCGGCATGTGGGATCTTCCCAGGCCGAGGCACGAACCTGTGTCCCCTGCAACAGCAGGCGGACTCTCAACCACTGCGCCACCAGGGAAGCCCGATGGATCTGTTTTTACATAGGATTGTCAAATCATCCTCACTCTACTGCCAAGTAAATAAACAATGAACAAATTTCTAAATTATTTAAAAGCAAAAAAAGTGTTCTAATTTTGTTTGTTATGTTTTCAAGAGGCTTCAGATAGTCAACTTTTGATTTCTATGTAAAAATTAATTTGTGTTTTCCAATGTTTGGTGTGTCACTACATTTTCAGAAGGCTATTATTAAAATTAAAATACGCATCACATGAACTACTAAATGGCAAGGGGTGGCAGCCTAGAAGCATACTGAGTTGTAAAGAGAAACCAGCCTATTAAAGTTTGTGATTTATCAAGTAAAAAAGAAATCTGCATTTAATAATCAAAAATTGACTTCCAATATATTTAGTCATATTTCAAAACAAAGAGGTTGAGAAATAAAGAGTAAAGAAATGTCTCAAACTAGTCATTCCAGAAAGCATGTTATTTTATCACATCATCAAATACTATTATTTAAAGAGAACAATTACCCTTTGTATGCTGTTGTCATGTAAAGCATGGTTTTATTTAAAACTCATGAACTGATCTTACTGAGTATGACTTACATTTCATAATAGATATGGTAGTTATGAGAAGAAATAGGATTTATGGTATACTGTAGTAAGCAGCCTTTAAGGTGGTCCCCAATGATCCCTGCCTCTTGATATTCATATCTTTGTGTAATCTCCTTCCTTGATTGTGGGCTGGACCTAGCGACTTACTTCTAATAGACAGAATATAGGAAAAGTAATTGGTGCTACTTCTAAGATTAGGTTCCAAAAAGACTGTGACTTTGGTCTTGCTTTTTCCCTCTCAGAGCCCTTGCTTGGGGGAAGCAAGTGGCCCTGCTGTGAGTAGCCCACATGAAAAGGTCCATGTGGCAAGGACCTGATGTCTCTGGTCAAAAGCCAGTCAGGACCTGAGACCTGCTAATGGCCATATGAGTGAGTTTAGCAGTGGATCATCCAAGTCTTCCAACAGCTGCATCATTTGGCAGATCTTCCCCAGCCAAGCCTTGAGATGACTGCAGCTCCAGCTGACATCCTGACTGTAGCCTGTGAGACCCTGAGTCAGAGGCACCCAGCTAAGCCATGTGCAGATTCCTGAGCCACAGAAACTGTGAGACAATATGTGTTTGTTGTTTTGAGCTGTTAAATTCTGGGGTAACTTTTTAATGCAGCAACCGATAACTAATTCACATACTAACGTGTCCCTGTTAGCAACTCTATTTGCCCTCTCTTTGCTACAACTGGTTGTCTAGCTTTTGCTAAGAAGGGAATTATTTTTAGATGAGGACATTAAGGGAAACTGACCCTGAATGCCAGAGAATAGTCAAATACAGACTGTTCCCACCTCAAGTTGTCTATCCAGATGTAGATTATGAAAAACAAATTTAATCAGAGTAGTTAAAAGATTTTTTTTGTCTTGTTTTCCCCAAGGAGAGACATATAAATATGAATATACTCACAGATGCTCACACTGTATATGTAAGCATATATGTATAAGCATTGTATATAAAAAAAGACTAAAGGAGGGCTCCCCTGGTGGTGCAGTGGTTGAGAGTCCACCTGCCAATGCAGGGGACACGGGTTCGTGCCCCGGTCCGGGAAGATCCCACATGCCGCAGAGCGGCTGGGCCCGTAAGCCATGGCCGCTGAGCCTGCGCATCCGGAGCCTGTGCTCCGCAACGAGAGAGGCCACAACAGTGAGAGGCCCGCGTACCACCAAAAAAAAAAAAAAAAAAAAGACTAAAGGAATACAAAATTGCTAATAGTGATTATCTTTGTACGGTTGGATTACTTTTGTTTTCCTCTCTGTGTCTGCGTGTTCTACAATGAGTAAACGTTATTTGTAAACTAAGGGGAAAATGTTATTTTCATATATCCAAACAGGCATTTGTAGCTCAATAAAGGGGCTACTTAGGTTTCAATTATTTAATAAGCAGATGTGAATAGTTAGGGTAAAGACTCTTAAGGCAAAACTGCCAAGGTTACTCAGCTTCTTACTGGTTCTGTGACTTAAACCCTTCAGTTTCCTCACCTGCAAAACAGGATGATAATATTATTCCTTATAGGGTTGTTACAAGGGAAAAAGCATGTATTCCTTGTAAAGCATTAAGCACACAGGAAGGGGCCACATAAAGGTTAGCCGTTAGTATTGTACTGGCTATGTGTCCAAAAGGAGGACTAAACATTTTCTTTGTGAAAATGTAATAGGGAAGAACCTTTTGTATTCTATTACAAGTTAATCACTAAAGGGATGTTGCCTATAAGCTTAATTATACATAATGGCCCATCTCTGGGAGCCCTGCTTCCCAGGTAATGAGCATTAAGCTAAAATACCTTTGTTTAGCTCACAGCAAACATCCTGACCAGGCCCACCTGTGAATGACTGCAGGGAGGAAGAAATCAACACATCCCCTCTGGAGGCTGATGGGAACCAGGAAGTGTTTGACTTTACTCCTTCCCCTTCTAGTATGAAAGGAGCCTGAATTCTAACTCAGGCAAGATGGTTCTTTGGGGGCACGATCCCACCATCTTCTCGGTTTGCCAGCTTTCCAAATAAAGCCGTCATTCCTTGCCCCAGCAACTCATCTCTCGATTATTGGCCTGTCATGTGGCGAGCAGTATGATCTTAGACTCAGTAACAAAACTACAGGTATCACTCAAAAGCTGAAAATAATAGAGTTTTTTTAAGAGGACATTTTATATTTATCAATGTAACATACCTTGTTTCAGATTTAGACAGGATTGGAACCTTCTTTTTTTTCTTTTTTCTTTTTTCACCGTTCAATTTGTCATCATACAATGAAGTATCTGAAGGAAAGGAAGTCTCTGAGGGAAAGTAAGCCAACTGCTCCTTGAGTTTCTTTCGGATTTTCTTCTTAATCTCCTTTGCCATTTCTTCAGCTACTTGGAGCTGGTATACTTGCATCAGTTCTTCCTCACCTAAACTATTTTCTCCTTCCTCGGCCTTCTCACTTTTCTCATGAGTGACACCTGGCAGTGGCTTGGTCCGTGCTTTCTGGGGTGTTGCATCCGCCTTCTTCTCAGGAGTTTCCGGCTCCACTTCTTGTGTTGTCACCTGGAGTGCTGTTTTTATAACCTTTTTATTTGCCTTTTCTTGCTTGTCGTCCTCCACAGTAACATCATTATCGGGATCTTCAGTTGCTGGCTGCGGATCTCTTGGTTTGTTTTTAGTGACTCGCATGTTCTTCCCTGGGTTCTTAGTGTTAGCAGCACTTATATCATCACTTTTAGTTTCTCTGATTTTCTGAAGATTGCTTCTGACTGCATCAAGCTAGGAGAAGACAATACAATAACAAAGTTTCAGCTAAGCACAGTTTAGTTACGTGAAGATAAAAATAATGACAAGTGTTCCACAATGTGTAATACTGGGAGGATTATGTCACTTTTTACTTGAGCACTGTGACACCATTCTACGGCATCTGATGAGCGTTTTCCTAGTTATTCTCCCAGCGTTGCATTAGCAATCTTGAGAGTAACTTCAGGTCAAATGAATTAACTAGTTAACAAAGGAAAAAGTACTTAATGACTTTTCAGAAGTGAATTAACTGCTCAAATCTCAAATGCTAGTTTCCTCTTTGGCAGAATGATCCATACTCTAATCTAGATATTTGTGAAAATGCTAAAAGAGCCATGGTTAAACCATTTCATGTTTCCCAATAGAAAACACACACGGGTCATTTAACTTGCTTCATAATTACATTCAAAAACCAAAGGTTTATAGCTCTAGGATTACTCTGCAATTAGTCCAAATGTATCACTGAAAATGCTGCTAAGTATTAAATATTATCAAGTTGGATCAAATGACAGACTAAGCACGTACCTGTACCTCTTTCTACAAACAAAATTATTTAAAATGAGAGATATTTTTAATGGACAATCAGGCTAGAAATAAAAACCGAATGTTACTAGTAATGAAATAAACATTTTGAGAAATTCCCCAAGGATAAAAAAAAAACAGGCAGGATTAGATCTAGTAAACTACCAGAGAAAACCACAGCACATAGGAAAAGACTTCTCCAGAGAAAAGGCTGGTTCTGGAGAAGCTGAATCAAGTAATTCAGGAAGAGGGACAAGCCTGAGGATGACCAACTGAGGAGTTGGGAGGGACAGCTCTGTCTTCCTCCTCCGTTCGTGTTACATGGTGACTTTCACCCAGAGACCAAAGCAGCTGAATACAGATATGGCTTCATGTTTTAGGTAGGTACAACCCTCACCAACAGCAGAAGCAGACTATGTTGAAAACAACCAACAGGCAGGAGAAAAATTTTCAAATACAAAGATGACTAACAACTAACAAACACGGAAGGAAAGCAGCACAATGAAGGAAAAGCCACCAAATCCAATAAAACAGAAAAATTAACAAGGAAGAAAAATAAATAGCATAAATAAAATAATTTTTAAAAAGTGGAATTAATATAATGAAGAAATTCAAAAGTATGAGATAAAAAAAAGTATATGTTAGAATTAAAATTTCAAACGACAGAAATAAAAGCTTAAGAGATGTGTTCAAAAACAGAAAGGGCAGGCTTCCCTGGTGGCGCAGTGGTTGGGAGTCCGCCTGCCGATGCGAGGGGGCACAGGTTCATGCCCCGGTCCGGGAGGGTCTCGCATGCCATGGAGCGGCTGGGCCCGTGAGCCATGGCCGCTCGGCCTGAGCGTCCGGAGCCTGTGCTCCGCAGCCGGAGAGGCAACAGCGGTGAGAGGCGTGCGTGCCACAAAAGGAAAAAACAAACAAACAAACAAACAAACAAACAAAACAGAAAGGGCAAAACTGAAGTGCTATAAGATGGAAGCCAATACCAAAATGAAGAATTCTCCCAGAAATGGACGAGCTTACCAGTGAAGACTGAAGTTCAATTTTCGAAAATCCTCATGTTTGAAAGTGGTTAGAAAATATCTAATATATGTGAAAAGGTGGGAAAATGCTAGAAGAACTAGTAACCCATTATATATCCAATATTTTACCATCTCCAAGACTCTTCTGCTTACCTAAAATGTATTTCCAAATTCTATCTATTCTTCAAGGATAAATTCTGAATCCATATCCTCAAAAAAATCTTTCCTAATCAAATCTAATAAAAATATTTTCTCTCTTAAAAAAAAGTTTATTTTCACATGTTCTTTTTCTAGAAGCAATATATGCTTAACTTAAAACAGTAAGAAAACAAAAAATTAAAAATAGTAAAAAAAATTCAGAAATTACTTAGATAAAGAAGACCCAAAGTTCAATCCTGGGTTCCCTCACACAAGGAAAGTCATCGCTAATCTCTTCAGAAACTTATTTTTGTTGTTTTTCTATGAACACAGTCATACCTAATAACCTTGAATTTCCATTATGTCAAAATGGGGCAAATGCAAATTTCTCTATTTTCTTGGAACCAGAAACGTAGTGGCAATCGATAAAAACTGTGAGGACACTCCAATAACTGGAAAAAGATAACCAAGAATTAGAAATAGAAAAACGAATTATGGTTTTGAAAACAAAACCCTGGGGAAGCTAAATAGATGAGGCTCAGTTTATTTATTTATTTACTCTCTTCCACTGATCTGTCAACCTTTGTACTAATAACATCATTTTAAATACAATTCCCAGAGCATCTGTGGTAGCATCCCAAAATTCCATTGCACTGAATTGATAGTTTCATTACTTTTTAAATTCCTGTTTTTGTGGTTTGGATTTCCTTTGTCTTGCTAACAACTTCATGAGATAGTGTTTACATTTTCGAGTAGTTTATAAATTTTAAACTTTTGTTACTGATTTCTAGTTTTGTCATACTATAATTTAAAAAGGTCTACTTCATGGTATTTCATATTTCATGGATTATCACTGAATTCTAAAGTGTCCAAAATACGTTTGTTCATGTTCTATTATATCTTTGCCCATCCTTTTATCTTTACCGTCCGTGCCTCATTTAGGATTTTTGCTTTAGTTTGTTTTTTAAATCCACTTTTTGACACATAACAATAAATTATGTGAAGTACAGTAATATTCACCAGTTTTACGTGTATACTTAAATGAATTTTGGCAATGTATACAGCTGTGACACCACCACAATCATGATGTTAAACACCCATGACCCCACATGTTCTTTTACAAAGTAAACTCCTACCCCTCCATGTCCTGGCTCCGCTCAACCATTGATCTGTTTTCTATCACTGTAATTTTGACTTGCCTGGAATTTCATATAAATGGAATCATATAGTATATAGCTTTTTGCATCTAGTTTCCTTCACTCAGCCTAAAGCTTTGGGATTTATACATGTTGTTGAGATTATAGTAATTTATTCCCTTGCATTACTGAGCAGTATTCCATTGTGTGGAGAGACACTACATTTTATTTCTCCATATACCAATTAATGGACATTTGAGTTATTTCCAGTTTTGCATATTATATGTCTTCCTTTCTCTTGAGTGAATACCCACTAGTGGAACTAATATACTATATGGTCAGTACACAGTTAAGTTCTTAAACAACTGTCAAACTGCTTCCTAAAGTGGCTGTACCAGGTCACACTCCCAAATGTATGAGTTCTAGTTACTTAACACACTTGTCAGCACTCCACATTGTTAGTTTTCATCTTTTTGTGTTGTAACAGGCGTATAATGGTATCTCATTTTTTTAAATTGCATTTTCCTAAATACTAATGACCCTGAGAATCTTTACATGTGCTTATTTGCTATCTGTATCTCTTCTTTGCTTAAATGTTCAAATCTTTTGCCCATTTTTGTAAGGTTGTTTCACATCATTGAGTTCTGACAGTCCTTAAAATGTCCTAAATACACTTTATCAGACAGTGTGTTGCAAATACTTTCTCTCAATTTATAATTTACTTTTTCATTTTCTTGGCAATGTTTTGAATTTTCACAAAACCCAGTTTATCCCTTTTTTCTCTTATGGTTCATGCTTTTGTATCCTGAGAAATCTGTTTATAACTCAAGGTTACCAAGGTTTTATCCTGTTTCTTCTACAAGTTATATAGTTTTAGCTCTTATGTTTTTTAGGTCGTTGATCCATTTCTATTTAATTTCTGAACATGATATAGTCAGTTTGTAATACTGTATACATATATCTGATTGTCCCAGCACCATTTGTTGAAAAGATTGTCCTTTTCCTCATTTTGATGTACCTTGGCAATTTTGTCAACAATCAATTGACCATACACATTTGGGTCGATTTCTAGAGTCTCTTCTGATCTATGACTTACATATCCACCTTTATGAGAATACCAGGTTGTCTTGGTTACTAAAACTTTACAAAGAGTTTTGAATCAGATGACAAAATTCCTTTGACTTTGTTCTTCCTTTGCAAAATTGTTTTGGCTATTCTAGGTCTGTTGTTTAAATTTTCAAATAAATTTTATAATTATATTTTTAATTCTTAAAAGTCTGCTGGCATTTCGAATTGAATCAATAGATCAACTTTCAGAGAATGGATAATAATAATCTGTCAATAATTATTTGACAATAATGATTCTTTCAATCCATGAATATGGATATCTCTTTATTTATTTGGTTTTTACTTTCAGCAGTTGGGGGATTTTCAGTATACAGGTCTCACATATTTTTTGATAAATTCTTCCTTGATTGCTACATATTTTTGTTACTACTATAAATGATATTTTAAATTTTAATTAAGTTATTCATTACTGGTATAGAAATACAATTGGTTTATACTTGGACTTTATATTCTGCTAAACTCATTTAATAGTTCTAACAGCACTTTTTAGAGAGTTTGTCAACTGCAGATGAGATTCTTTTACTTCTTCACTTATCTTTATGCTCTTTTTAAAAAATTGCATTATTGCATTAGTCAGGGTCACCTGCACAATTATGAATATGCATGGTGATGTGCTCAAGCTTAGGGCAAAAGCTTTCAGTTTTTTACTTTTAAGTACAATTTTACTGTAGGTTTTTGTAGATGCCCTTTATCAAGTTGAGGAAGCTTCCTTCTATTCTTTTTGTTTGTTTAAGAGTTATCAGAATGGGTGACCAATTTTGTCATCTTTTTATTGCATTTGTTGAGATGATCATGTGGTTTTATTTAATCTTATGATATGGCAAATTACACTGACTACTTTTTTCAAATGTTGTGATATATTCCTGAGATAAACCCCACTGGTCACAGCGTATTATCCTTTTTATATAATGTAAGACTGATTTCCTAACATTCTGTGGAAGATATTTGCTCTAGATTCAAAAGGGATACTGGTGTAGGTTTCCTGTAATGTCTTCATCTGGTTTTTGTTTTAGGGTACTTAATAATTGCCCCC